GAAAAAATTGGTTTGGTATATATAAACAGAACAGAACAGAAACTTTGTTCTGTTCTGTTCTGGTAAATATAAAAAAATATTACAATTAAGGTAATTGTTTCAAGTTTATATTAGCATTAGCGCAAAAGGAAAACATGTTTTATTTATGAGATTTTTTCTCAAACCATTCCCATTAGCTTACACAACCTATTTTATACTTATAATTGTATGGGTCAATATCTATAATATTAAATATAAAGTTAGATTAATCCACAATCTGCCTTATGTCGTGTCAGAGGCATAGTTATCTATGTCTCTCGTCGTGTGCACATGATTAATACATACATATGTAGATCTAACTAGTATTAGATGGATGTTTAGATTTATAAATACAAATCTGTTCAATATGAAAATGCTAATATATATAAGACATGTTTAGGATGATAATGATGCCGAAATATATATATTATAGAAAATTTAATAGCAATATTTAATTTGAAAATATACATGGTCCGCCTCGTCTCGAGTCACGGTCCGCCCTGTCCCAAAATATGGTCCGCCCCGTCCAAACATACGTCTGCGCTGGTACGGTCCGCCCTGTCCAACGTCCGCCTTGACATACGTCCGGTGACAATAAGGAAAATCTATATTTTGCAGACAGAATGTATGTTGAATTTCATTGATTTATAATAAATGAAAGAATTTTATTTGCTTTATGTAGAATAATCCAAACATAAAAAAAATTTATTAGTAGGCGACAACAAAGGTGCTAGTGGCATTAATTTGACCTAAAATGTGTTTAACCTTGTTATTTATGCACTAAAACATCAATATATTAAAAAAAAAAAAAATAATTTTTTTTTCACTGTTTTATTATTATAAGACAATAAATTATATATTAAATCAAACCGAGCCTGCAACATTTTCAATTATGTTGTGTTGGACTTTCTTTAGGGATTCTTATTTTCTCTGTTGTCGCCCAAAGGTGCTAGTGGTATTGATTTGACCTAAAATGTGTTTAACCTTGTTATCTATGCACTAAAACATCAATATATTAAAAAAAAATTAATTTTTTTTTCACTGTTATATTATTATATAGTCATATAGTCTATAATAATATAACAGTGAAAAAAATTTTTTTTTCATTTTTTTTTTAATATATTGATGTTTTAGTGCATAAATAACAAGGTTAAACACATTTTAGGTCAAATCAATGCCACTAGCACCTTTGGGCGACAACAGAGAAAATAAGAATCCCTAAAGAAAGTCCAACACAACATAATTGAAAATGTTGCAGGCTCGGTTTGATTTAATATATAATTTATTGTCTTATAATAATAAAACAGTGAAAAAAAAATTTTTTTTTTTTTTTAATATATTGATGTTTTAGTGCATAAATAACATGGTTAAACACATTTTAGGTCAAATCAATGCCACTAGCACCTTTGGGCGACAACAGAGAAAATAAGAATCCCTAAAGAAAGTCCAACACAACATAATTGAAAATGTTGCAGGCTCGGTTTGATTGAGCCTGTTCATGGACGGTACTGTAAAGTGCAAACTACCGTCCACGCCCCCTAACACCGGCTTAAGCAGAATTCAACATTTAAACATGAAATGGTAAAATTTTGAATTTAGAAACATGCGCAGATGTTGAAGCCCTGTACGGGCCTCAATACATGAAATTATTATTTAGTAAAGCGGTTATTGGTTGGATATTGAATACATGATCAACCAATCAAAATCTTTGTTGCATGAGTAAGTACACGTAAGATAAACACTTTTGTGATTGACAGGAGTGCTTAGTTAATTTGTAACGTAATTTACTTTTATATATTAAGTATTAAATCTTTTTGCACTTCTTAGCATATAAAGTTTTAAATTATTTTATCAGAAGTTTACTCGGTGCATAAAGGAACATTTTAAAAGGTTTGTTTTTCATGTTTTGAAGTTTTGTTTATCCGTCCAAAGTTTGACAGCTGTTACCGGCATCGAGTCCTTCATTTTCTTTGAAATGAGAGGAAATTAAAGGGAAATGGCTTAATAAGTGTAAACTATGGAGATATAAATATGTAGTTAAAAGGTTATATGATTGCATATGTAATTAAAATTTTATTTGTATGAATCGCGAAAACATGTGACATTTTTACAATTTTCTCGTTTGTAGGGCAAAAAAAGCTAATGCTTAATTGAAATGTTGATTTTGATATTTTCTTTTATGAAATGTGTTCATATGTTTAAAACTATTGCCGTATATAAATAAAATCAATTCATATTTAACTTTGAATATTAATCTGTTAATGTTATCGTAAACAATTGATCGATTATGACTAGCAGGCCATCAAATTTTAAATATCATTAGTTCTTTCCTTATATTATTATATATTTATGTAAAATATATTTATAAAAGCACAAGAATGAGATGGTTGGTGTGTATAGTGATGGTGGCATCCCTGATGCATGAGATAACATGCCCTCCGGTCCAGCCGGACATTAAACCAGTAGAGGGAGATTCACCAGATGATGTGAATGAAGAAGATCCAGTAAGTAACTGAATACTTTTGTAAATAGATATTAGATATATTTTCCGAACAAAACCAATAATCAATCGTCATTTTAAGGCAAAATTTTAGAATACAATGTATATAGTACTGACTAAATATGGTAGCTTAAACAAATTTACATCCGGGCATATATTGCCCTGCCTGTGTGGTGCTCTTGTTTTTTTGTTGCATTTCGTACATTTTTTTAAAAAACGCAAGATCTTTTTTACATTTATGCTATATTTGTACCAGAGTGCCACTGTTAATCATATTATTATGCCTAAATTATACAGAAAGATTGGGATGAGTTTACTTATGATGTAGATGAGGTAAAGTACAAGGGAATATTTTGTGATCTTGGCTACGTCCTGATACATACATGTATATAGTTCTGATATTATGATCCCCCAGTGTACTATCAGTAGTCCAGTTGCGGCACAGGACCTGTTCCAACTCAATCAATGTTGTTTTTCTAGAAAACCGACAATTCATAAAAGAATGAGCTGCTAGCAGATGGTTTGACACACATTGCATTATGTTATCAACAAAAATTCAAATGTCAGAAATATTTCAATGAAAACGTCATTGAAGAAACCGGAATTGGTCCTGTACCGGAACTGGTCACTTGACTGTATTGGATGCTAAGAGGGTTAAATTATACCCATAAACTTAATGAGGATGAGGATATATAATGCTCACCTGTTGTTTCATTAACACTTGAGGGCCGGAAACCATCTGGTTATTCCCGTATTATTCTAATCATAGATATTTATACATTATTTAGTTTAAGCTAATTTATATAAAAACCTTGTTTTTTCAGGGTCTGTATTTCTTTATTTTCAGTTTCATCACACTTCAAAAAGTTCATTAATTTATGACTGAAATCTGTTTATGCCAGTGTTGATTACTGTATTTTAAACAAGTTTATTTGATTGTTTTGGTGTGTTTTATTAAACATAATGGTGCTTTTTTACTGGTTTGAATTCAGTTTAAAATTTAAGTTATTACTCTGTGACTGGCACTGTTATGCATACAGGGTTCCCACGGTATCAGGGAAAACGGGATATGCCCATGAATTTGAAAAGCAGGGCTCCAGACCTAATTAATGTTGAAAAAAACAACAACAAAAACTATAATATATACTCCTGGATTAGACCCAAAGGTCTTATTCCGGATAAAGCCCTTAACAAAACTGTCTCTGAAGCCTTAGTGGACTGAGGTCTGTCGGATTTGACCGTCAAATCTCAGGTGAGATAAAAATGGGATGAAAACCTGGAAAAAACATTAATTGTCACAAAGTACATTTCATTTATTGTAGACACTGAATGTATTTCTTAGAAAGATGTTCTGTTACACTTTCTTAATAGACTTACCGTACTTCATGAACTAAATGTATTTTGTTGAAAGGCGCCATTGAAATGTTGTTCTAAACATTGCCAATCCCATGAACAAATTCATAGGGCAATGTGTAAAATAACATTGAATTTTATCTTGTAGAAAAAAGTCCTCAAAAATTAGAAAAGTCCTGGAAAACTCCCATCAAATAGTTGGAACCCTATATATAATATGACATGATTTAAATGATGATATTAAATGTTTCTTATAATTGGTTTTATGTAACATACTTAGTTTACTGTTATATTATATTCATGTAATGTCCCAGTCATATTTCTCGAAAGGAATGTTATGATTTTTCTTTAAAACAGTTTATTGTTAACATGATTTTAACAACAGTATATAGTCTTTAATGTAGTTTTTAGCTCGACTATTCGATAAGAATAAGTAGAGCTATTGCAGTCACCCGAGCGTCGGCGTCGGCGTAACCACTTATGTTAAAGTTTTTGTAATAGTTCAAATATTTTCAAAGTCCATAGACATATGGCTTTGAAACTTTGCACACTTGTTCACCATCATGACCCCAACCTGTAGACAAGAGGAGGTAACTCTATCAAGCATTTTGACAGAATTATGCCCCTTTTTGGACTTAGAATTTACGTTAAAGTTTTTGTAATAGTTCAAATATTTTCAAAGTCCATTGACATATGGCTTTGAAACTTTGCACACTTGTTCACCATCATGACCCCAACCTGTACACAAGAGGAGGTAACTCTATCAAGCATTTTGACAGAATTATGCCCCTTTTTCGACTTAGAATTTACGTTAAAGTTTTTGTAATAGTTCAAATATTTTCAAAGTCCATTGACATATGGCTTTGAAACTTTGCACACTTGTTCAACATCATGACCCAAACCTGTAAACATGAGGAGGTAACTCTATCAAGCATTTTGACAGAATTATGCCCCTTTTTCGACTTAGAATTTACGTTAAAGTTTTTGTAATAGTTCAAATATTTTCAAAGTCCATTGACATATGGCTTTGAAACTTTGCACACTTGTTCACCATCATGACCCCAACCTGTAAACAGGAGGAGGTAACTGTATCAAGCATTTTTTTAATATCAAGCACTAAGAATAGTCGAGCGTTGCTGTCCTACCGACAGCTCTTGTTAATGTTGTTTACATTTAGTAGGTGAAATAGATTTCACCATTTAAGCATTTTATAGGTTTGATGACATAAACAGTTACTAAATGAATTATTGTCATAGCCATTAGAGCGTATGTGAAAATAAGATTTTATTCTTCTAACAATTTTCTTTACTAATATTCTATGAGCTTGACTATAGGTACCGTATATTTGTTTTGAGTGTAAAATACTACTGAAATTGTTTATTTCACAACCTTGCAGAGATGTTTACTTAAATGAAACAGTTATAACATGTTGTCAATAGAATTTATTTTCTTGTTTTCACTAACAGTTGATTCTTCTATTACTTTCAACTGACAAAATGAGCACATTATTTCAGGGTTTTGGTCTAGAATATGATAGGTATCTTAAAGAGATAGTCATGGCACTGGAAGAGGACGAGGCATTCCGTAAAAAACTCGAAGAAATGAATATGACCGATATAAAGGTTTGATGTTTCTTTTTACTTTTTTTCGTTGTTGTAAGCATATCTAAAAGAAAGAAAATTACTGACGTATTTCAGGACTTGGGTCTCGAATATGATCGCTACCTAAGTGAGGTTATGACGGTTCTCGAGCAAGACGAACAGTTCCGTAAAAAACTGGAAAATATAAGTGACGATGATATCAAGGTTTGAATTTAAGAATTGAAAAGCATGGACAGGGTTTATTACCGTACACACGCACGTAGATAATTTTATGTAATAACCAAACCACTCGCTTTTATAATTATTTAACAGCAAATGTTGATCTGATAGAATGGAAGATGGATTTAAACAGTACAGTTTAAAATGTGACAATAACAAACAGCCCACTGTTTTTATTTTGTTTTATACAAAGGTAATGTAAGGGAAAAAAGGAGAAAAGGAAAATACCGTATTGTTATAAAAATCTAGTAAGATTGTTTTCCTTTGGTGTCAATAACTTCATATTTATGTTGACAAATATGTTGTTCAAATAGCCTGAGTGATAGAAGTTGGTCAATGAAATAAATCTTTTACTGGGGTTGTCACTGACCCACTACTGATATCGTGTGGGTCTGTTGGATGAATAGGGGTAGCCTGGTGATCACCTTGTCCCCCAATTAATCCTTCAGACTTTCAGAGTTTCCATAGTGGGTCCGACCTAATAACTTATAACATATATAGATCCACAAGAAATGATGTTATTGTATTTAATCAAAATGCACTTTTTATTATATTGCCAACACGCTTTGTCTACAAGACTTCATACTGCTATAATTTGCAAGCAAATGATACTTATGAATTTATTTACAAAGGGAATCAGAGTTATCTTTAAACACAAAATTTAGAAAAATCTCAAGTGTTAAGAAAAAGTTTAGTGAAAGCCAACTTGAGATTTTTCTCAGAGATGTAATAATCTCTGTCAATTTTGAGACAATGTTAGGTCAAGATTTGTCTCTGTTTGATTAATGTTATTGAAAGCCGAGCCTGATGGTATTTCAGTTTTGTATTTTGTCTAATTAAACTCAGACCACGCTAGCATGGAAGCTAGACTGGTTTCTGTACTTGTGGCACAGTCAATTCCTTAGGGCAGCAATCAAATAAACACAGTCTGAACATAAATCCATCATTTTCCAGATCATGACTAATTTTACCCTTAGAATTCATTCTATATTTTACAATGCCTTCCTTTACATTTCTGATACTAACATTGTTCTAAAGTTTTTATAGCCAGACCTGTGTGTGATTTTATTGTTGATAATACATTTTGTATATGTCTGAAGCAACATGTTAACATTGATAGCATTATAGTGTTCTTTTATTACTAAACTTTCTTAAGATTTTAATCAAAGTTGTTATTTGAAATTATAACCCTTCCCCCATAGTTTGTATATTTTCTCTCTTTCTACAACCTCAGTCTCTGCTTAATTTATATTATTAAAGAAAACTATTTATTTTACTATGAAATTTAATACTTGTAATATACATGTACATGTATTTGTGGCACTAACTTAATTTTTGTTATAGCTTATTTTATTTGTTTGTCAAAAATGAGGGAATTGTTATTCAATTTTGTTACTTTTTATGCACAGTGACTGTATAAGAAATGGCATAAATATTTCTGAACATTTTGTTTTATGTTAATAATGCACATAGACTGGTGTCAAGGTCAAAGAGAGTTCATTGGAGAACTTCTGTTTTGCCTTTGACTGAGTCTTGGGGTAAATTTTTCAAAACAAATTGCTCTTTTCTTTCCATGTTACATCAGACAAACAATGTGTTCTGCCACATTGTCAAATTAAACATAAACTAAGTGTAAAACTGTAAATATATCAGATTTTGTAATTTAAGCACGTAACTTACCAAAAGTAATCAATCTCAATTATGTTAATTAGAAAATATTACTATGTTTTTTAATGGATGAGTATGTATTTTACAATGTTACAGCCAAATTTTGATAAGTTATACTATTGTCAGTTTCTGTTATGTTGTAAGAACTTTAAGAAGATTTAAGAAGATGTAAAAATAACCGATGATAATTTATATATCTCTTAAAATTTAATGCCAGTAAAAACATGTTTGACAAATCATTGTATCTCTACCATTTGATGTTTATGATACGGAAATTTTTATTTTTTAGCTCAACATATAAGGTAGTTTAGTGTATGAACCTTTCAGTTTTTATGTGTCTGGTTTATTGCTAAAAGAATTTTCTCGTTATAACAGAAAGCTCTGCTACAATAGGCTATTATAGCAGTGTTGTTTGCTAGAAATACATTAAAAAAAAGTCAAGGTTAATTTATACTTAAGTGTCAAAGGTTAATATTTGAAGCAGAATTACTTGTCAGTGCTGTAACTTACTCAATAGTCATGCCTTAAGTTCTGTGAGATTTAGGATAAATGTTGCACTGGTATAAAGCCAGGCAAGCACAGGTACATGGATGCCGTCTAAGGAGACTTCATCTTTAGCCGCTTAATTTTGTTGAATAGTTCCTAATTTAAAACCTGATCTTACACACAGTCACCTTCAGCTAAGAAGTGGGGATTGGGTGGGGGGGGATTCAGAATTTCAGATGCTTGACAATTATCAATGTCTACTTTCATTACTTTTCCTGTCATAAAACTACATGTATTGATTATTGATTAGTAGGAAATTCACTTCTGTTACAAAATATAAACATCAAGAGAACATTTTGAATATGGTCATTAGCAAAATAATTGTTAAAAGAAGCAGATATTAATGAGAGATACACTCGTGTAACAGCTGGTGTCAATAATTTATGATACTTGTGGGATATTAAGGTTGTAAAAGTTTCAATGTTCTTACAGAATATAGTTATTTCTGTTCAAATCCTAGCAATAAACTGTTATTCAATAAGCATGGTCATGTCCTTGTCCGAATTAATGCCATAATTATTAATAACAGTTTTACTGTTATAATTATAAAATGCTACATTATCTCTCTGTTGAAGTAGTCAGTTAAGGTAGCTCGCTACTTTCCGACCGAAATTTGACAATATCTCAGATCTTGATGATTTCTGGTATACAGACATGTAGATATGTAAGCTTTACTTCTGCAGCATTATTTTATAAATAAACAGCGTTACTATGACGTCAAAGCGCCCTCTATCGGTGGCGGCGAAATTGCGTCTTTTTTATCAATAAACATGTCTGTTATTATCAATTTTCATCCGATTTCCTTCATTTTAATTTTATAATGTTCAGTAAATGTATGTCTTTGTAATGATGTCTTTCTTGAACATTTGCTAAATACTCTGCGATTCTACGTTATTTTCCCTCTCGTTCTGACGTCCATATTTGATGCAAATATCGCGCGATATCGCAATAAAGATTGTGAAATAATAAAAAATCAACACGGTGAATTTTGCTTTAATTTTTTTAGCATGTAGTGAAGTCATAAAAGAAAATATTTATGCAATAAAAATATAGGGTCAACGCGTAAGATATTTTGCTATTACTATTTGAATATAAAATAAAGGGTGAGTAAAACGTAATGATTTTGGTGACGTCAAATATTTTTCTCAAGGAAATTTTCACGACTTGTTCGATAAATAACATACTGACAGGAATAAAAATGTGTGAAAACCATCAACAACAATAGTTTGTAGACATGTTCCGTAAAAATGTTCTTTTAAAAGTCCTGGCAGATGCCTGCATTTCGATGAATATCTTCAATTATATACATGTACAACAAATCAGGGTATAACTGTCTGCAAAAGTTGGTATCAATCGCTGAAAAACTGCAACGAATGGATATAAATACCTCGAGGACTGAAAGACAATTCAGAATATTGAAAGATATAATTAAAGGGCCACCTAAGTGGAAATTATAAAAACATAAATTTTGCAAAGAATGTCAGAAAAAAAGAATGAAAAGGCTGATGCAGTCGCAATGTCATCATGTTATGTATATCTCGGTACAACATAAACTTCCATGTTATCATATGTAACAATTTTGAATTGTATATATCAGTTAGTAGGAACAGAGACATAGATAACATCTATGTCTGTGGTAGGAAATAAATCAAATTTACGTTTCAAAAATATATGATCAACTGGAAGTAGCAACGATTTGTACGTAAGCCATGATTCACCGGTAGTCTTACTTATATTATAAAATCTAGCAGACATTTAATTCAAAAATTTTCTACACGTATAAAAATTTATTTATTAACAGCCATCAGATATTCTATTTTCTCTCGCAGCTAAATACCCTGCACTAAGCGTGAGACTCACATTTAAAGCAGGAATCACGCTCTCATGCTATGGCTTTAATTTCTCACGTATTTCACATAATTACAGATATTCTTATTTATTTTAAACTAGCTGACCCGCGGTATGCGTTTACTAGCGCATCTTTGAGGCGACCTGAAGCCGCGATCATTTCTCGATTAAAGGCGAAAGTTCCGTTGATTTATTTTGTATGTTCAGAAGCGGAGAATTTTGCATATTAAATACAGATTCCCTTGTATTGAAGACCATGTAGGATCCTCAATTTTTGAGAATATGGTTGTGGGAGAAGCTCGTTTTTTGTCTGCACATAATGCAGTGCTATGTAGAGCCTATGAAAATAATGAACTATGCATTTTATGTTTTATATTTTCTTATTTTTTAATATTGGCTTTAACGCCGCTTTCAACAGTATTTCAATTAAAGCGGAGGGAATTTAACGGTACCAGTGTTTCTCACAGTATCAACTTCTCTTTGGAAATGAATGACAGGAGTCCGAGGTGGACCTTGAAACATTTCATAGACAGTAAACAATTCTAAAATATAATCTATTAGTACAATAAGCAATCGTGTCTCGAATCCATGCCTTCCGAATTCAGCGTAAGACCACTTTACCGATTACAACGTGGCAACAGAAGAATATTCAAAGTAAAAAAAACCTGATTATGATCTCCGTTAATAAGGGAGAAGTCCATTTTATTGCTAACATCATAAACACGTGTTGTTGGTGTGTGTTTGAGGTTGTTTTTTTTTTCTTGTTTTTTTTTTATATTTTTGTTTTAAAGCAATACAGTATTGTATTAAAAATGAACAAGATAACGTCAACATAATACATTATTTTCTAATTATCATGACATTTTAATTAGATTATAATTATATAATCTATGTATTGCACAGACTTAGAAATGGTAAGCAAAAATAAAAACAAAGTAAAGGTTTTTGTTTCTTGTACAGTTTGTTTTTAAATATTCTTAAAGGGACTCCAATGAGGTTGAAAAGCTAAACACATAACATTTGAATTTCTTACATAAATGAGCTGGGCACTTTAAACAGAAATATATGCGAAGATAGTTAAGAAATATACTTTGAAATAAATTGAAAATCGTATTTTTATGTTTTTGTTAGCCCGATTTGGGTGAAAAGCGTTTAAACACTTTTCATTTTGAATAATTATTCTGGAAAAACGAAGTGCGCGAATGCTCTGAAATTTTGCACAAATATTCGTGGTGTAAACCTACATCAAATTGTACATTTATCTGGAAAAAATATTTTCAGTTCCATCATGTCAAAATACCTCAGTCCCTTTAACATATTTGAATATTATTTCTGAATTTTATTTATCACTTATTTCGGCACATTTGTATGCATATCTATTTGAATTGTATTTTTACGATGTGTTTTGACACCGAGGCTCGTCTGCCTTTATGTGATTTTATGAAAGTGTTTAAAGACTGAATGTAACGTAAAATAAATATTCTACAGGTAAGCGACGTTATATTCTTACTACATTCATACAGCAATATGTGTATCTTATTTTTTGCGCTGAAACTAGTTAATTCATATAATAATGTAACACTTTAACAACATCACATTATAAAATTAGAATTAAAAGATGTATGAGACTGTGTCCTGCAAATTAAAAAAGTATTTAAAAAGGGATTGTCGGATTAAACATTGTAAATGTGCTCATCTAGCGCATGCTTTCAATGAGAAAATTATCAACAATTTAGAAAATATACATTTCATCAAGTCCCTGTGTTGTTTATACTTACTATCGTAATGTTTGACGTAAGAAAATTGTTATTTGGTATTATTCTTTGAACTCCAACAACTATTAACGTCACCAAAATCATAACGTTTCACTCACCCTTATTTTATTTTAAAACAGTAATAGCAAAATATCTTACGCGTTGACCCTATATTTTTATTGCATAAATATTTTCCGTCACTATCTCACTACACGCTCGGAAAATTATAGCAAAATTCACCGTGTTGAATTTTTTTTATTACACAATCTTTAATGCGATATCGCGCGATATTTGCATCAAATATGGACGTCAGAAAGTAGAGAAAAATGACGTAAAATCGCAGACTATTAAGTAAATGTTAAAGAAAGACATCATTACAAAGACATACATTTACTGAACATTATGATATTAAAATGAAGGAAATCGGATGAAAATTGATAAGAACAGACCGGTTTATTGATAAAAAAGACGCAATTTCACCACCACCGATAGAGGGCGTTTTGACGTCATAGTTACGCTGTTTATTTATAAAATAATACTGCAGAAGTAAAGCTCACATATTTATATGTTTGCATACCAAAAATCATCAAGATCTGAGATGTTGTCATATTTCGGTCGGAAAGTAGCGAGCTACCTTAAGTTAACTGGTTATCTATTATCTATTAATTAAAAAAGATTCATTACATCAGTTAACTAGATAATAAACAAAACATATATATTAGAATCTCAAGATTTGTGCATTTTGTTGTTTTTTTTGTTGCAAAATTAATGAGCCAAACTAATCTAAAACAAGTGGTGTCTGTTTTACAATCACGTAATTAATCAGTTTTATCAAACTATTAAAACATGTATTTTTAAAATCTTCAAATCACATAAACTGCAGTAAGTGTTTTGAAGCTATCCAAACTAAACGATGATTGCTTACGGGTATTACTGAAATTTTAACTGAAACAAAAATTATCATATTGGTTTATACATATTAATTATGCAGAGCTAATTTTCTGTTACAGAACGGGAAAATTTCCATGCATCTAGACCTTGTCTCTCATCAGATTCGTGAGAGGCTTGATGAAATCAAGCGTCAGGAGATGAACCGTCTTCGGGATTTGGCGAAGGAGAAAATGAAACAGATGAAGGGTACGGAGGTTTTAGGTTCAATAGCAAAATACGGAGGTATGATGTTACAGCAGACGTGAGTACGAAAACGTGTGGGCTGCTTCATAGTGATATTATCTCCCTTAGATACTCATCTATAATTTTCATTAGATTTCTAGCAGAGTTGTCTTTCTTTAATATTTTACCTATTTCTTATTTTGGGGATTTATTGGAGCAAAATTATCTTTCCTTGATACTCTCCCATATTGTTTTCGGCAAATTTGGAGTTGTATCCCTTTAATACTCACCAATTAGCTGCTGTGACTCACCACTTCACATGTATTGCGCATAGAATTTTTTACCATGATTTTAATATGCTATTAACAAGCCTTAATTGAGTTTTGTGAAATGTTAAAAACATATTACAGAATGTAAGTGGGAACAAGTGTTTTTCCTTGTTACATACTACATGTATTTATACCGTCTTGACAACTTAATTATCTTCCGACCACTCAGTGTTGGGTTAGGTCTATTAAAGTAAACTAAAATTGAAAATTTGGAACTTCCTACAACTGCTTTTTGTGTCGCCTTGAAAAAGGCGACATATAGGGGTTACTTTTGTCGGCGGCGTTGTTGTCGGCATCGGCGTCCCCTTAAGCTTGTCCGGAGCATAAGTCAGTCATTATAAGTCTGATTGACTTCAAACTTGGTATGCATGCTTCTTACAATGACCCGAAGTGCAGTGCACAAGAACCGGTACTCTGCACTTCTTATTTTTTGAGTTATTGCCCTTTGTTAATTTTCATACTTTATTTTTGTCCGGGCCATTTCTCCTTAAGTATAAAATCTATGGACTTGAAACTTCATAGGATGATAGATCTCATTAAGGAGAAGTGCAGTGCATAAGAACTGGTACTCTGCATTTCTTATTTTTTGAGTTATTGCCCTTTGTTAATTTTCATACTTTATTTTTGTCCAGGCCATTTCTCCTAAAGTATAAAAGCTATGGACATGAAACTTCATAGGATGATAGATCTCATTAAGAAAAAGTGCAGTGCCCAAGAACTGGTACTCTGCATTTCTTATTTTTTGAGTTATTGCCCTTTGTTAATTTTCATACTTTATTTTTGTACAGGCCATTTCTCCTAAAGTATAAAGCTATGGACATGAAACTTCATAGGATGATACATCTCATTAAGAAGAAGTGCAGTGCCCAAGAACTGGTACTCTGCATTTCTTATTTTTTGAGTTATTGCCCTTGTTAATTTTCAAACTTTATTTTTGTCCAGGCCATTTCTCATAAATTATAAAAGCTTTAGACTTGAAACTTAATAGGATGATATATCTTATTGATAAGAAGTGCAGTGCACAGAAACTGCTGCTCTGCATTTCTTATTTTTTGATTTATTGCCCTTTGTTAATTTTCAAATTTCATTTTTGTCCTGGCCATTTCTCCTAAACTATATTGTTCACAAGGCGACACATCCGACTCGCGGAGTTCTAGTTTATGAAATTTGTATCACAATGGATTTATTATCTACAAATGTATATACATGTAGTATGGTTACTGAAAATGTACACAGCATTTTCTTCACACCCTGACAAAATCACTTAAACTTACACATGTATAACGATTTGAACACAAAGATAGTTTTTTTTGGTCAAATTTATGTTTATCATTGAACACCTTGAACTCATACTGATGTTATAGATATGGTAGTAATGTAATCACATAGTAACTGGACCACATAAAAACTGTAAATAGTTACAGTGTGGTAGGTTAGTGGACAGTGGTAAATGTGGTAGAATTTTAATATTAACGAAGATGTAGAGCTACTAAATACAGTAATGATTTTAAAATTTAACTTATCTGTACAATCATTGGAGCACATTATATTCTCTATCGTTATAGAAGTAAAAGAATAGAACAATGTAGTATTATATAAAATTTAAGACGGAATTATGTTAGAAAAGGCCTATTGTATCTTATGAGAACAGTACAGATGAAACTGAAAATTAGTAGTTTCACATATTATTTTTTATATGATGATCAGTGTATTGACTTCACAAAATAACCATGACCATGCTTAAAATATCTTAAACAGAGTTATCTATCTTTCTATCTAAACAAAACCATTCATCATTTTTATGGTGATGTTTGAAATATGTACTGACTGAATAGCAAACAATACAGATCATGATCAGACAGCACAGATGTGCCAGCTGATCTTGGCAGGCACTGATTACACAGGTATATCAGTCATGCTCTTTAGGCTAAGGGTAAATTTGATAAAACCTGATATTTCACAGTATGTACAATATATGTAGGTAGGTATGCCTTGTTTTGTTAAATATGAAACAGAAATATACTTTTTTCATCATGGCAGAAAATGTGTTAGGTCGGGGATTCTTGTAGAAGTATGTCTTTACTGTTACATTGGATTTGTTTATAGTTCTGAAATTTATTTGCAAACCATCCAACATGCAGTGCTTGTGAGGAGGTAATGTTATACAGTCATGATATTTATATTCTATATCTTTATTATCTTACCAATCATCATTCACTTGACATCATGTGACCATATTCTGTTATATGTGTCCATACAAAAATCCTACAATTTTGAATATTTCATACTAATGTAAGTTCAGTTGAACATGGTATAAAGGCTGTTTAAAGTGACATAATTTATGTAAGTTAAAATAGATATAGAATATAAAGCAACTTTAACTTTGTCTGTACAGTATTGTGATATATTTGGACTTGTATCCCGCTGAAAGCTTTAATTAATTCATTTGGTAGTCAGGTCAGTGCTGTCGTCTAGCTTGGAATACATGTACATGTCTAAACATATCCAATTACTGTACAGACAACTGTTAAGTAACGTAATATTGTTTAAGTTGTTGGTATTATGGTATACCTGGAGGGAAAGGATGTCATAGTTCTGTATTTTCAGTTATTACAATGTATAGTAATTATTTCAAATGGAATATTCCCTAGACCTTTATCATTTACTGTATATAAGTTTCAAAGAAGGAGTTATGATTTCTAATTTTGTTTGTATAACAATATAGAATTTGCTATGTAGTGACTGTCCACTATGTAATTTTATCCTAAGGGGGTCGGCTCAATATTTTTAGCTTGGGTTTTATATATATATTTATTGTCGTATGTTTAAGATAAATTTATCTTTCGGAATCTAGAAATATCTAATAATTCTATTACTGCTTTTTATATCCGACTACAAATTTTGTTGATTAGATATTTGGGCATTTTCAGTTATTTTCAGTTAGATAGCCTCATGTACAAGGGTTGTCCATAAAAAGCTGATGGTTTATGTTAATAACAATATGGGTTATTATGCAATAAGGGTTCAACAGTAGAATAAATTTGTCTGTACTGGCCGTTTCAGTTCCTTGGTACTGGCAAATCTTGTCTTTGAAATGATTTCTTCTGTGCTGAGACACTCTCTGAACAAGATATATTACTACTAGAAATAGAAAGTTGCTAGTGACGCTGATATATACACTGAAGTCAATGCTGATACTTCATTAGAATGTAGAATACTATTACTCACCCCAAACTGACTTTATCAATAGATTATACACTATTATGAGACAACCCATGTATATTTCAGATTTGATAACTAGATATTAAAAGGAAAAGGAAAAAACATATGGAATATATATTTACAAATTTTAGTTGATTTTCTTTGAAAATTTCCAAGATTATATTTTGCTAACCAATTTAGATAGATAATAATATAATTTATTGAAAAACTACATACAAGTATTTCAGATTTAAAAAGTAAAGACGCTTAAAGTTTAAAGTTCAATGAAAAAAAATGATTTTCTGGTTTTCTTTATGAAATAGATAAGGTTTGAAGAAAATATACATTTTTTTTACTTGTCTGAGTGCATTTATGTACATGCAATAGAAAAATAATTATATATGGTGAATTATTTCAACAGGAATTTTCAATTTGATTATTATTAAAGATGAACAAATCTTTGCAAAACTAAATTAATATTTTACATAAACCAAGGTATTTTATGTTCTTCTTGCTTAAAGTTTGTTTTAAACAAAAAATGTATAAAAAGTCTTCTACATAAAGAAACGTTTGTAATTCAAACTTTCTTTTTTTCCCTCAAGATGAGTTTTGGTAGGACAAGTTCAGCCAGATTTCAAATAATGACCATAAAATAGTAAAGGTTACATTGACTACTTACAGAATAGCTGGCGATTATTGATAGTTCAATCTTATTACATTGTATGTATATTAGTTGTTTTATTCTCAATAGGTATACAGAAGATGGATGAACAGTTCCTACATCACGTTGATGTGAAAAATCCTCATTCTTTTGAATCTAAAGATTTGGAAAAATTGATCAAAAAGGTGGGTAATTCAAAATACGATAATGTTTGTGTGTATGCATTTATTTACAATAAATAACTTATACAGGTGCCTCTGCCAGGAGAGTCCCCTACAGAACAGTTTTTAATAAGATGTTAAATCAAATATGTGATTCTACACACCATTAATAGATTACTGAATGTGTGATGGTCAAACATGTACATGATACTTTGGGTTAAAGTCTTATTTAAAAGACTATTATAAAAGTTCTTGAAGTATATAGGGATCAAACTTTCACTTCCCCGTATAGTTTGTCCGACAGTCTCACAACTGGAGTACGAGTCTTCCATGTTAGAAAAAGAAGATTTTATTGATATGTAAGTGTGATTGTTGGTATGGTAACATTTTTGAATTAGGGGTTTAAGTTGATATACACAAGTGAAATAAAAGAATATATAGCAAGAAAAATAAAGACTAAGTTACTTTATTCTCTTCAGTTTTAGTTGATCCCATTGGGGCTGTTAAATATTTTTATTTCTTCAATATTTCTTTCTTGCTATGGCTGGTACTCCATAGGTTGTTCATAGATACCTAAATGATTATTACAAAGGAGTTAAGAGGGAACTAAATGGGTTTGAGCAACTGCAGTCTGTGCATCTCTTAGCTCCAGCATGTGGGGTGGTTTTTACCCCTGGTGTTGCTTTGAAGTTAGTAACACTCAAGGTCAGCAAAAATCATCTTTCCTGTTTTGGCGCCATATGACCTAAACTGTGTTAGAAGGCCGTAAAACAACAACAACAAAAAAAACTGAAGGTTGACGCATGTCTTTACCTGATATTGTGAATTTAATTAGACAGTAAGGAATTGTATCAGAAATACATCATATAATATAAAGTATTGTTCTGCTCTTTTAGGCTACAAGTGATTTAGATGAGATAGATAAAAGACGTCGCGGAGAATTCAAAACATATGAGATGGAGAAGGAGCATCAAAGAAGGGAAGAATTAAAAAATCTGGATGAAGAACATAGAAAACAACGAGAAGAGGAATATGAAAGAATGAAGAAACGTCACGAAGAGCACCCTAAAGTTCACCACCCTGTAAGTTTTTTCTTTGTCAGGGGAAAGACAATGTTTTATCATCAATGCTTTATCTTTGCAATTAGGAAAAATGCTTTATCGTTGTAAGAAAAATAAATATGCTTTGACATGATAATTTGGGAAATGCCTAGTGATAAAATGCTTATTAATTGTAATGATAAAAGGGAAAGGCTTTTGTTTTGTCGAGGGGGAAAATGAGTCATAGTCTACAGTGATGCTGAAGAATAAAACTGTTACAATCTGGGTATTTGTCAAAGGGGAATAAAAAATAATAATATTAGGACCTCCGGCTAAGGTTTTGATGGGGGGGGGGGAAGTTTTGAGGACATGCTGATTGGGATTGTAACTGCTGGAGTTGAATCACCGGATGACAAATTGTATGATAGTATTTGTACATACATTTTGACAGAATGAAAGGAAATTTACTTGAAATTGTTGGGAAATTGTTGGGAAGGCAGGGAGCTTCCCATTGTTTGGGTTCAATTTTAAATGGAGGTCTAAATAGTCAGACAATGGCTTGTAGTATTCTTGCAGAATGAGAAATGTTTTTTTATGGTGGTGTGGGAATAAGGGGTGTTGTAGGAGGGTAAAATTTCCGTGTCAGTGAAAGATACTATTTTGTGTTTAACCATTTCCTAGACTATTATAAGAGTCGTATTCAATTAAGAGCTTACCTACTGAATTTCAAAAATGGACTTGTCTAGCTTCAATGTTTGAAACTATCATTTATTGATTTTTGGGATATCAAGATGAAAAATTAAAATTGATCTGCTAAAGTGTAGGGCCTTGTCAGACTGCATGGCTGTACAAGCTGACCTGGCTCTATACTGGTGGTAAAAAGCTAATAACTTTCTATTCCAGCAGGGTATTTCTACTTTTATGTTGGAGACTCCTATTTCTACATCATTGAACAAAGATTGGTTACAAAAATGAATGTTAGATATAAACCTAATAAGAATTTTAAATGTTAAACTTAATGGAACTGAGTTTGCAGTGTTTTAAATTTAGACAAACTTAACCAAATGTAAGTTAAGATATAAAATGGTTTATCTGTTATATTTGGGTGAAAGGGTTGGTGTAGGGGTACCATTATATATTACAGGGCAGCAAGGATCAATTGGAAGATGTATGGGAGAAAACTGACCATATGGATGCCAGTGACTTTGATCCTAAGACCTTCTTCAAAATGCATGGTATGTGACAATGCTATGTACACTTAGTTTTAATGAATGTTTATATATGGGATTATTACAGGGAAGCAAGGCTCAGCTCGAGGGAGTCTGGGAGCAGACTGACCACATGGATAGGCAAGACTTTGACCCAAAGACCTTCTTCAAGTTACATGGTAATGTACACATGGATCCTGCTTATGTCGGAAAAGAGGATATAAAAATATGAAGGCTTTGCACAATGGCTTTTTGTATCTTTTAATATTTTGCTATGTTATATATTTATTTCACCTGAACTATAATTTTAGTGCGAGCTTTTTGGATAGGTTGACAAGTGACATCTGTTTTACATCATGATAATAATAAAACTTAAAAGCTGAATCATATTGGCAGAATACTTTACTTGTTTTCCTATCCAAAGAAAGCAGCATATAACTGGAAAAATATATCCAATTATTCTCAAAACTTGTGCCCTGAATATGTTTGCAGTGACTACTATCCACATGAACATGTGCATTAGATATCTGTTTGTGTAAATTTTAGTTGACATTAGGTTTTAAAAAAAATCACTTTTCAAAGTAAAATACAGTCGAAATTCGTTCGCTCGAACTCGGAGGGTCTGTGCAAATTTGTTCGAGAGATCGGTAGTTTGAGCCAACCGAGGTTGAACTATTATCACGTATGACAAAGGCCTAGAGGTTTTCCAGCTTACATCAGTTGAATTGTAAATTATTTGCTAGTACATCAGTGCGCGGATACGTCATTTCTTTTTAATATTAAGAATTATTATCCCAGTGTTCGTTTTCAAATGAGTATTGACGGTACACTGCATGCATATTGTAAATGGTTGAGTTCGATTAGGCAATCATTTTCTAATCTTGTTGAACAATATTCAAAATATATTTATATGTTTATTATGGGATAAAATTAATTTTAATATTAAAAAACATTTAACAGCAGCATTTATTTGTAGTCATTTACTAAAATAAACACACATACAAGTATCATTCTATAGCAAGTATCATTCTATAGATATTCACGTTACTTGCATCACTGCTGTAATTAAAGCCGTCCGGGTAAACATCATCTATTTATTGACTTGCACATTTCACGAGTTATTTACTAAAGACAGCAAATAAATAAACAACATTATCATAACAAACAAATCGGTTACAACATCTCTAATTTTGTATGAATAAACCTTAATTGCCTTTATCACGATCACGAGGTGTTAAAAATATGTGTCGCCGGCTGTCACTTATTTAGAACATGTTGACCCACAACTTTTGTTGTCTTTTTGTGTTCGACTGAAACGGGGTGATTTTAACTATGTTTCTGCCGAAGGGACCATAGATCAGGTTCAGGACTGGGCGATGAGTTCGAGCGTAAGGAGGTATTCCAGCGATCCGAGTTTGAGCAAACGGAATTAAACTGTACCACATTTTTATGGAATGGGAAATATTATTTACAATCTATTTGTTTCATCCACTAAACCATTATCCTAATATACACTGATATACCTTACTAATAATATGTGGGTAAATTTTAATCCAAAGTATTAATTTTTTCTTACATGTTTATTTATGATAATAAGTGATTAATATTAAATCAATAGAACATGCCATATTGTTTCTGTCCTATCTTTCTGTGCTTCTGTCTGTCTGCTGACAATTTTAATCTTTACTCTTCCTTCTATGATAAAAAGTCATTTTTAAATGCAATATACATCTTAACAAGGTTTTTGGAAATATTGAAATACCTTCTTGACCCAAAAATGCATACATGCCATAATTTTTAGACTGTTTATAAGGACACCTTACATGTGGGTTTAGAGGGGATGGTGGTTTGTCTTGATCAGTAAAGAATCTTATGATTTATGATTCTCATCCCTATATTTCTATAGTGTCAAGCAACCTAGTTTACAGATATTTTCCCACAAATATTTTGATAAAAAAACCAAGACAAAATGTTAAATATAATTGGCAGTTTATTGTTCTTTTCTAATGTATAAAGGGTTTTATATTCTCTGAGTCAAGGAAAAGGACATGTCTTTGTTAAGTACAGACACTTTGCCATTTTCTTTAGTTTAAATAGATAAAAGATTAAATCTCTGGAATGTCTCCATGACAGTTGTCCAATTTCTGGGACAATACCATGGCAATCACAGACATTTTGGACATTATGGCATGTACAGTTAATAAACTAAACATTCTTTGTCAAATTTTCATAATTTCTCTTAAAAGGAAGGCATAACAAGTATCATTATGAAAATGGAAAACAATTTTTGTTTCACATGAAGAAAGTAACAAGCACTCTGCTATGCTTAAAATTAATTGGTTATATGCTTTAATTATTGATGCTGTACTGTAGTTATATGTTGTATTACTGTAACTTATTAGTTTAATAGCTGCTTTATAAAATACCATGCACAAAATGGTCATCTTACAAAAATAATTCATATTGATTTAAACTAATTTCAGATAGTGAAAATAAGCATAAAAAAATCAAAATGGCAAATGCCAAAAAGACATACTAAAAATTTCAAATGAATAAAAATTGAATCAGATTTGCAAGGAAAACATTGTTATTGTTAGATATAAATATTGTAACTTTTGAAAGGCTCATCATTACATTTTGTTTTTCAAACAGATATAGATGGTAATGGTTTCTTAGACCAGGATGAAGTGGAAGCACTCTTCCAAAAGGAGGTAAATATGTTTGCTATATAAAAAGTGTGATATTTCTGAAGGTGAGAGTTTGCTCCCTTATTAAAGTGACAATTAGCCGTAGGTTTTTCGAGTGTACAGTGTTACATTTAAAACCTCTCATAATTATCAGCTTGTGAAAAAATATTTTGCTTGATAATTCCTATAATATATTACAGGCTTGAATGTGCTAGACTGTAATAAAAGGAACATTCAGTGTTAAAGAGAGATACACCCTTTAACAGCAAGCTAGTAGTTTCTTTCTTACCTTGAAGCAGGCAATTTTAAATACCAAACACTATGTGTATCAGAAAAATAAATCTTTGTTTATGCAGTATACCTTCAATAATTTCATATATTCCCTTTGTCAAATTTAGATTTTTTGTCGTCATTGTGAAACATTTGTTTTCTGTGAAAAAGCTATGAAATTCATTGCTTCAATAAAACCAAATCTTTTTTGCCATGTATCCAGTTGGATCAGGTTTACGACCCAAATCTTCCAGAGGATGATATGAGAGAACGGTATGAGGATATGGCACGTATGAGGGAACATGTTTTCGGTGAACTAGATTCGGACGGAGATCGTCTCATCAGCTTAGAGGAGTTCCTCAAGTACACAGCTTCACAAGAGTTTCAAAAAGACGAAGGATGGAAGGTTAGAATGCTTTACCAAGATTGATATTTACCCTTTCCACTATATATAACATAAACATGTCTGTCTTTCAATTTCAATAAGACCATGTATCATTTTTATTGAAAAATTTCCAATATATGCACTGACTGAATAGCAGGCAGTACAAACCATGAGCAGACGGCACTGGTCACATGCGTAAATTCAGACGCCGCCAGTAGGCTAAGAAATAAAACATTCAATAATTAGTTTTATTAAATCCTTTTTTCAGTACTCTCAAGTATTTTTTAATTAAACTTTGGAGAGGATTGGATCTTTTATTTTTAGCTTGAGTATTCAAAGAATAGGGAGAGCTATTGTACATGTATTCACACTGAACTAAATGAGTGTGAATGAGTTCACACTTGAAAGCACAATAGGAGGTCACTGTCCAAGGGCAATAAATCTAATGAATTTTGACAGAATTATGGCCCTTTTTTGCAACTTGTTTTACTATCAAGAACTGAAAGATAGTGGAGCGCACTGCCCTACCGTCAGCTCTTGTATTTGTAACTGATCGTTTAACATGAGCATGCATTATATATTTAACAGACTGTAGATGAGGAGCAGAACTTTACTGATGAAGAATATCAAAGATACGAGCAAATGTTACAGGAACATGAGGCTAAAATGAGGGCACAAGGTTTAGACCCAAACTTGGCTCAACCAGGCATGGTTGTAAGTATTTTAGATACTCAAATTTAGTGATTGATTGAGAATAAGTCTATAGTTATTTGAACAATTTTTTGTTCTACTTGCTTGAGTAACCCAATAGTAGAGATGAATCAACATTGTTTGAAGTCAGTTCACAGAGGGATGATTGATGTTCCTTTGACCTTCAGGAATATTTATTTTAGAAACTCCTGTGTCTAATGTTGTCTTATATTGTGGGAATGTAGTAGTCAACCAATTTGCCAAGATGTTCTTACATTGTATTGTTAATATACATGTAGATCTATTTAGTCATGCCTCAAATAATAAAAGAGGGGCACTTAAGTTACCCTCAACAAATAAAGCTGGAAAATTGCCATATGACCTTTAAAGTGGTTACAAAAACATGGACTGCAGATAGTGGCACCATATATCTACCATCGCAGAAAATGCTAAACAAATATTCAAGTAATAAATAATGTACTGTTTCAGAAAAATATTTATTTTTGGACTATTTAAAGAAATAAAATTTTGACAAGAGTATTTGGTCAAGAAATGATAGAAATTAATTGGTGTTGTATTAATGTATTTTCAGCCAGTGGGACAGGATCCTAATGTACAACACATGCAGATGCCACAAGGTGGTCAAGGTAAGCTTTTCACATAAACCCCTCTCAACACATCATAAACCAGTACCTTTGTGGGATTCCTTTACATCCTGTTTGATAAACATGTTGTTTGCTTTGTCTACACAACATCTGGGAGCATTATTATTGTCTTTTTTTCTTTGCAATTTGAAACTATAAAAGTGTTGAAATATTTTTTGTTTTTTAGATGATTTTACATCAGATCATAGCATTTACTGTATAAGTTGAAAATAACTTAATATCTCTGCAGTATCTAGGAAACAGACTATACATAGCACTTTACCTGTGTATGGATATTAGGGATGGATTTTTTAGCTCACCTGTCACAAAGTGACAGGGTGAGCTTTTGTGATCGCTTTTCGTCCGGCGTCCGTCCGTCCGTCCGTCCGTCCGTCGTCCGTAAACTTTTTCTTTAAATGACATCTCCTCATAAACCACTAAGCCAATTTCATCCAAACTTCACAGGAATGTTCCTTTGGTGGTCACCTTTAAAAATTGTTCAAAGAATTTAATTCCATGCAGAACTCTGGTTGCCATGGCAACCGAAAGAAAAAACTTTAAATATCTTCTTTTAAAAAACCATAAGAGCTAGAGCTTAGATATTTGGCATGAAACATCTTCTAGTGAGTGTCTACCAAGTTTGTTCAAATAAAAGCCCTGGGGTCAAAATTGGCCCCGCCCCGGGGGGTCATTGATTTTCCCTATATGCATATAGTAAAAACTAAAAAAAAATCTTCTTTTAAAGAACCTCAAAGAGCTATGGCTAAGATATTTGAGCATCAAACATGTTCTAATAGGTGTCTACCAAGTTTGTTCAAATAAAAGCCCTGGGTCAAAATTGGCACCGCCCCAGGGGGTCATTGATTTTCCCTATATGCATATAGTAAAAACTTAAAAAATCTTCTTTTAAAGAACCAAAAGAGTTAGAGCTAAGATATTTAGCATGAAACATGTTCTAATAAGTGTCTACCAAGTTTGTTCAAATAAAAGCCCTGGGGTCAAAATTGGCCCCGCCCCCGGGGTCATTGATTTTCCCTATATGCATATAGTAAAAAACTTAAAAAATCTTCTTTTATAAGAACTCAAAGAGCTATGGCTAAGATATTTAGCATGAAACATGTTCTAATAGGTGTCTACCAAGTTTGTTTCAAATAAAAGCCCTGGGGTCAAAATGGCACCGCCCCGGGGGTCATTGATTTTCCTTATATGTGTATAGCAAAAACTTAAAAAAATCTTCTTTTGAAAAACCCAAATAGCTAGAGTTAAGATATTAAGCATGAAACATCTTTAGTGAGTGTCTACAAAGTTTGTTTAAATAAAAGACCTGGGGTCAAAATTGGCTCCGCCCCGGGGGTCATTGATTTTTTATATGTGTAATAGCAAAAACTTAAAAATCTTCTTTGAAAAAACTCAAAATAGCTAGAGTTTAGATATTAAGCATGAAACATCTTCTAGTAAGTGTCTACAAAGTTTTGTTCAAATAAAACCCCTGGGGTCAAAACTGGGCCCGGCCCCAGGGGTGTCATGGTTTTAAACTATATGTGTATAGTAAAAACTTAAAAAAAATCTTCTTTAAAAAAGCCCAATGAGCTAGAGCTTAGATGTTTAGCATGAAACATCTTCTTATGGGTGTCTACAAGTTTGTGCAAATAAAAGCCCTTTGGTTAAATTGGCCCTGCAACATTTGGGGGGGGGGGGTTGGGGGGCCTATATACAGGTGAGCGACCTCAGGGCCATCATGGCCCTCTTTTTGTAATTATGAAAAAAATGTTAAATTAAAAAAGTCATTAGATTAATGCAAGTAAAAAGTTTTGATTGAGCTCTGGATTATTTTTTATGTTAAATTGATCAGTGGTTCTGCTGAATAAAGTGGCCAATTTCTCTTAGAGGGATGCATGTCTTCTTTTTTGAACTGTTTATATTTAAATAGGTTTAATTTCTTTTGGATTTCTTTTTGTTATGGATATGAATGATTTCATGGTGATGGTTTACTTTGACTTTTATTTTGTTAAAAAAGGAATGCCACCACAGGAAATGCATCATCAGCAGCAGCAACAGCAACAACAATTCCAACAACATCAGCAGCAACAACAATTTCAGCAACAACAGCAGCAACAATTCCAGCAACATGGCCAACAACAGCAGTTTCAGCAACATGAACAGCAACAACAAATGAAACAAATGGGTCAAATGCAAGGTCAAGCACCAGTGGGTCAAGGTCAAATGCATGGAGCACCACCTGGAATGGGCCAAGCTCAAATGCCAGGACACCAAGGTGCTGGTCAGGGACAGATGCCGGGTGGACCACCTAGTATGGGTCAAGGTCAAGTCCCACAAGGTCAAGGTCGTGGTATTCCACGTCCTCCTCCAGTTGATATTAATATGGGTCAAGGTTGGTAGTCAGTGGCTCATATAGTTTTACAAAATAAAGATAAAGATAATGGGCAATATAGAAATTTAGAATGATACTATAAAGCTGTTTAATGCATGATATATATTGTCTTGTCAGCATGATAGTGTGTTGTAATGAAGTCATTTAGTTTGATTGCAAAGTAAACCTTATTCCTATTATATGCATGTTTGCTTGGTTAAAATTTTCAGACCAGAACATTCAAGTTGTTGGTGCTGCAGCCAATGAAGCTGCCCCTGTCTCTGATGGTCAAGGTCAAGCCCAAGGGGTTCAAGTTCAAAATATTGTGCAAGATTCTCAGGGTCAGCAACCTCAAAAAGCTGATTCTGGGGCTCATGCAGAAAATACTGGGCTAAATCAAGGTCAGGGCCAACAAGTTCCTAATCAGGGTCAACAAGATCCTAATGTAGGTCAGGGTCAACAAGATCCTAATCAAGGTCAAGGTCAACAAATAGATACTCAGGGGGGAAATGTTCAGGGGCAAAATTTAGATAAAAATGCAGATGAGATTAATGTAGTGCCATTGGGTAGAGCTTCACCTCAGAGACAGGGACAAAATATAGCTGATGGTAAGTGAGGAGTGTAAATAACCCTTATATAGCTTTAATATGCCTCCCTCTCCTGCCCTTACCTTCCTTTATTTCTTATACAGATTATACTCATTTTTCTTAATCTTGCATTGATTTATGTTAGTTTTTTTTTATTATTTTGATTTTGAGACTTTCAATGACTTTGTTATTCATAATAAAGTAATTGTCAGGTTAGTTGGACACAAGTTAAGTTGTAAAAACTTTACTAGGCTGTAAATTTCTGCTAAAGAAGTTTTAGCTTTTTGAACTATTCTATTAAAGAAGGATAATCACCATGGCAAAAATTCAGTCATTACTAATTTAAAATCCATAGGTTAAGACAAGATATGCTATCAGATTGTTTGCCACTATTGTTGTCTTTATTTTGTTTGATTTTTTTCTTCAGAATAATAAGAAATTATATAATTATTGTAATGTTTTATTGATATTGATGGAGATTTAAAAGTTTAGATTTGGAGATTGACCTTGACAGTCTCTACTACTTTATGCTTGGTCTTGATGATCTCTGATCAGACATGTTATTGCCAGTGTGATATGACTTGGTGGAGTATGCTGTAAATGTGTGCACTGTGTGACATTTCAATTATGAACTTCACTGCTGCAATTGAATAACACTGTTTGTAGAAGTAATAGATTGTTGAGTGACACCCTTAATTCCAGCACATAATTTACAATTTATCTACAAGAGACCTTCTGTTTTTGTATTTAGAGTAGTTACGCTAGTAGATGTCTATGTTTATTATGGATTTTTATCAATAAAAACTCAGATTTCTGGTTATTTATTTTATGGTTTATATGGGTACTTCAAGTGTGATGCATTACTTATTTCTTTTCTTCAATATCAGTCATCATTAAAGTTATTTAACATTTAAAAGAAAATTGAAAAAGATCTATGGTAGATGGTACAAATTTGAGAAAAATAATTTGCATATATACACCTGGATATTAGGGGTGTGTTTAACTTATTTCCAGGTGTATATATTTACAAATTGTAATTTTATTTTTAAGTGCTTTATGTTTTTACTTTGCATAGGACTATAATGTTCTGTGCTTCAAAATTTGATAATATATGTGTATCAATAAAACTTTCCATAGTTAAAGGATATAGCCCTTTCTATGTAACTACCCAAACCTATTTTGTTCTGATGTACAATATCCCTAGTATAGCTCAAACCCAGTATACCTTGGTTGATAAGCAGATATCTGTACCACTAAAGCCATCGGTACCCTCTGTAAGAAACTCGCATTTTAACAATGATTTGTGCTTTACATTTGAGAAATATTAACATTTGTGATAAAGATTTATTAAATAGATGATTAACTGTATTGATTTTTAACTTTGTATATACATTTTAACTTTGTATATACATGTACAATGTAATAATATTACTTAAAAATGGATGTATAATGTATTTGTTTGACATGTTGAAATTTGTAACTTACTTGAAATTTTCATAGCTTTAAGGTGTCTGCTGTAGTTACAAACATACATATAGGCAAAAGGAAAATTGTAACATATAATTTATTTTAAGTTTGAAGGATCTTAGAATATAACATAGATATTTTAAGTGGAAAAAACTTTTGGCGCCACCAAACTTGTTTTATTCTTTTCATTTAATTTTGTAAATTGTATGTAGAAGATTTAAAAGAATTATCCTATCTGGCAAGTAACGTCTGAAAGCTATCATTTGAATTTTTATAGTAATAATTCCATTTCTTTTTTGTAGGCATGCCACCAGGAGATAACAAGATTCCACAACAAAATGCTCAAGGTCAACAACAAGGTCAAGGTCAGGACACACTCAAGTTTCAAGGTCACGATCAACAGAAACCACAGCAGCCATTAGCATAGAAATATTGTCCCAGTGGTACAAGGAATTCTTATACATATTTGTGTTGGTAGAAGAGATTTTAAAAAGAAATATTTTAGTTTTTTAATGAGGGAAGGGAAAGAAAAAAAAATCAAAATATAAGACCACATGACATGGTATGTAAGCCATATGCTATTGTTACCTGATTTTTTAAGACTGTTGTTTTAATTTTATTCATCTTCAATTAAAAGGCTAAAAATGTTGTTGTTTTTAAAAAATTGTTAATTTCTATTTTTATTATTTTATTGCAAAGGAAAATGCATATTGGTGAACCATTTCTTTAATAATTTGGTAAGAAGACAGAAATTCTTTTGTAAAGTCCAAGTAAACAGAGATTTTTTTTTTCAAGTTAAGTTTTTGATTTTAACATTTTAACCTAATTAACACAGGGAATCAGGATATACTAACATTAGGTGTTATAAAACTGTAGGAATTTTATCTGTAATTAAGCATTTATGTGATCTGAATTTCTGCTTGATTGACATTTTAAACATTAGCAGTTTATCCCTGATTGACATTTTAAACATTTACAGTTTATCCCTCAATATCCTAAATGGACTTATCCATACTTCAATATGGACAAAACCATTCATCATATTTAGGGAAAATTTCAAAATAAATACTTTACGAATAGCAAACAGTGCAGACCATAATAGGACGGCCCTACATGACTATACCTTGGTCTACACTGGTCACATGGGGTAAATTTATTTGTTACCAGCAATGGAGGGGTAACTCGTATATTGTTTTGGAGCTGGATGATGTATTTTTGTGTTCATAATATACTTATTATAGAAAAAACAGCTTTAAATAAAGGTGCTATAGACTGTCATTTTTCAGTATTTCTAGATATTGAAACATTCTGATTTACATATTCTTCATTATTATTTGTATTATGAAAACTAAATATTGCTCTTATATAAAAAAAATTGTTGCAAACGTAGATTTTTTTCTATGATTTTTGAAAAAAATTAAAACAGCCATATTAGTTTTCCATTTAAATCATAAAATTAGTTTTGAAGATTAAATATTGATAGAAGTCTTAATTTCTAGAACTTCAGTAGGAGAGCGATATAAAGTCATCAAGATATTTTACAATATTATTCTAAACAGTTTGTACAAATGTTAGTTGACTTTGTTTAAACAAGTGCTGAATTTTGTGCTCAAATTAGGGAGCAGTGCAGTGCCATTTTATATAGGACAGTAACTGTTCTAGGTTGCATTTTAATTAAGGCAGATTTCTATATTTGTTTTCTTCTTGTCACTATTTTATATATTACTTGATATTCTTGTGTTTATTTTGCTGTGTATCTTTGGAAATAAATATTGCACACTTCCCTGCCCTGCCCTCCCCCCCTTGTCAAGTTAAGAGTACAGTTTTCCTGTAAACATTACAATCACCCCATTCTTACCAAACCTGATATACACTGTACAAGAGGTTTTGTCTGTTAAGGTGTAAATAGTCAATAATATTCATTAAACATGTGACCAGTCTGAATACAAATATAATGATAATTTTGGTGCAAGATATACAAGATTTTTTGTTTTATGTTTAATTAATTAAGATAATTACTCTTTAAAACTCATAATATATGTTAAACATTGACCAGATGTATAAAATTATAGGTTCAGGTGAACTGTCATGAACATTTTTAATGTTGTCTTTTTTTTAAGTTATGTATGCTTAGAATTCAAGACTGTCAATTACAAATATCTCTACACATTCAAGTGAGGTATTTCATTTATTGAAACTTATTCAGTTTTAACTGTGATGTGTTGAACTGACATCTTACTGTTACAAATTAAACCATAACTCTGCTCAATTTATGAATTGAATTTGACCGGCTTTGCATTAACTGTCCATTAGTAATTTTAGAAGATTTAGCAACACAATAACAAAAAGATTGAGCTACCAACAGTATAGAGCCTGGTCAGACTGCACAGAGGAGCTGGCTGGCCTGGCTCTATACTGCTGGCATAGATATGACATAATTATTATTACTGCTGGCACTTATAAGGGCTAAAATCTTTGTTTAGTATTGTTTTGAGAATCTTTTATTCAGCATTGTTGAACAAAGGCTGATTCAACTGTTTTATAAACAGATTTATTCTAGTCAAAAGTCACATAATATATATATATAGTATAAAATGTAATTGAGAGAAAAGGAAGAAAAAAAAATAGCTGCCTTATTTCTATATGTGATATTTATATGTTTAATTGCCCTGAATAAATTAGTCACAATATTCTTAGAATTTAAGTTCACATACATGTATTTCAAATACATGTACTTTATAGGTAGTTTCGGCTTCATTTTACAAAACTAAGAAAAGAAATTTGTATTTACAATGTATTGCTAATTTTGATTTCTAATGAAAATTCACTGCACAAGGTATAATATGTTGCTATTTATGTTAATGCATATCAGAAATTGGTAAATAATGTTATGTAATTTTTCAGTCATTTGATTTTTTTTGAGCGATGAATAAATACAAATTAGTTAAGTGAACATGTTTTATATTAACTTGTATATTGTTATTTCTCTGTTGTTTTTATTTTTCTTCTCTCTTTTTGCTGTACCAGTTGAATATAAGATATGTAAAATAGTCAAATTTTGTCTCATTCAACTATCATGTTAACAAATTTTTATATTAAATACTTTGTGAATGGTAAAGATAAATGTTAAAACTTATATTATTCAATTTATTAAGTTGAATAATCTAATTTAAACAAAAACAAGTGAAAAATATGTTCTTTGCCTTAATTTGGAAATTATATTTCTGTGGTTAAAAATATCTATGTAGGTCAAATTAATTTTTGATATTTTTAATGGTTTATTGATTAATTATGATATTTTTTTTTAATTAAAAACTATGAAATCTAAAAAAGAAAGGAATAAAACATACCACTTTTAGCAGAGCCCTTAAACTTAATGGATTTGCCCTGCTTTGAATTTGGATCAGTCCATTCAAAGTTGGGAAGGATTTCTTTATCAAAATACAAAAATTGAGCTGCTATAAGTATAGAGCCTGGTCAGACTGTACAGATGGTCAGGCTAGCCTGTCTGTATACTGGTGTCAAAGGCTAATCAATATCATTTCTAGTATGTAAAAGGGCGAGAGAGAAACACATTTTCCTATGTTTTATTTATGTCTGAATGCATTCCATTTATTTTTCAAATGTCACTTCACTTAATGTTTCCCGACTTAACGTTTCCTGATTTTGTTCAAGAATTTAAGCATAGCTATAACAAAGAAAAGAAAATTACAATTACTTAAATTTTTAGCTCGACTATACGAAGTATATGGAGAGCTGTCCTACTCGCCCCAGCGTCCGCGTCCGCGTCCGCGTCCAGATTTTAGATTAAAGTTTTGGTGCAGTAAAATATTTTTCACTATAACTTTGTCATTTCTTAAGGTATCAACTTCAAACTTCAAATATATGTTCCTTATCATCAACCACATCTCATGTGACAAGGTTCATAACTCTAGCACCAATATTTTCAGATTTATCTCCCCTTGAACTTAGAATTTTCCTTAAAAAATACTATTTTTTACTGATACTTCTTTATTTCTTAAGGGATCAACCTCATACTTCAAATATATGTACCTTATCATCATCCCCATCTTATGTGACAAGGATCATAACTCTAGCACCAATATTTTCAGATTTATCTCCCCTTGAACTTAGAATTTTCCTCAAAAAATACTATTTCTTACTGTTTCTTCTTTATTTCTTAAGGGATCAACCTCATACTTCAAATATATTTATGTTATCACCATCCCCATCTTATGTGACAAGGTTCATAACTCTAGCACCAATATTTTCAGATTTATCTCCCTTTGAACTTAGAATTTTCCATAAAAAATATTATTTTTTACTGTAACTTATTTATTTCTGAAGTGATCAACTTCATACTTCAATTATATTTACGTTATCATCATCAACATCTTATGTGACAAGGTTCATAACTCTAGCACCAATATTGCAAGAATTATCTCCCCATAAACTTAGTTTATTTACCAGAAAAATGTTATTCTTTATTTTAACTTTTTTATTTTTAAAGGTATCTACCTCAAACTTCAAATACTTATTCCTTATCATCAATTACATTTTATGTGACAATGTTTATAACTCTTGAAGCAATATTTACAGCTTTATCTCTCTTTGAACTTAGGATTTTCTTTAAGAAATATAATAACTTCTTTATTTTTTAAGGTATCTACTTCAAACTTCAAATATATATTTCTTATCATTACACAAATGTTGTGTGGCAAGGTCCATAACTCTAGCATGACTATTTCTAGAATTATTCCCCTTGATCTTGGAATTTATGTTAACAAATGTTATTTTTTACAGTAACTTAATACATAATTATACATAATTGATTTTTCTTTCATAGTTTTGTCCTCCTTACTGCGTCCAGTATTTCATTAGTCGAGCTTCGCTGTCTCCTGTGACAGCTCTTGTTGTTATGAAACTTAAACATTCGAAGTATAATGAAAATAAGTTATCTAGGAAGGATCTGCGTATTTCTCATTGTATTTTTTTATATGTTCAATGATGGTTTGATAATGACATTTATAACAAGTGAATAAACTAATATTTTTAACAAAATTAATACTTGGTGTTTTTATTTGCTCACCTGTGTGCAAAGTGCTCACAGGTTATTTTCTTTGATGGCAGTGCGTTTGTCATTCTCAACAATTTATATAAATAACATCTTCTAAGCCACGAGTTGGTCTTTGACCAAACTTCCAGCAAATAATCCAAAGGTGGTCCATTCAAAATTGATATAAATTTGGTCAGTCTGATGCATAAATAGGTCACATGAACTAATAAAAGACTCAAGCTACAATGCTAAGATCTATGGTGTTGGGGATGTGGCATCACCTTGTACTCTACAAAATCCCCGGAAGTTTTATTTATATAGACTTGTATAGTAAGTCTTTCAGTGTTAAACTACAATGCCTAGAGCTTAGATATATAGCATCCAGCATCACCTTGTAGTCCGCCTACAAATGATTTATTATTAGGCCCTGGCCCGAGGATCACTTAGTTTACACATAGAGTTTCATTACAAAACTGGTTTGGAAAAACAACGCCTTGAGCTTGTATATATGGTATTGCCTTGTCGACCTCTCCTTAAGTTATCTAAATTATGCCCCTCCCTTGATAACAACTGGCCCTGATAGATTTATATATAGTAAAATATTTTCATAATATTTGACTTGTAGCGTCGCCTTTTCGTCCTCTACAAGGTATATAAATCGTTGACCTGTAGTCAAAATCGGTCCTGCCCTGGTAGTCAATTAGATTATTTAGTCTTGATTCCAGAATTTTGATATTTGGGAAAGTGTTATGTAGCATCTGGTAGCGGACCTCTTCAAATAATTTATGAATGGTGCTGCTGTGGTAACGAAATAGCACGAATTACTTGCTGCTGCATTGGAGAATGGTAACCTTTCCTAGCAATGTATCTCTGGCGAGTGATTTAGAGCCATCAAGGCCTTGTTTTTGACATATCATAAATATCAATTCTGTATCATTACAAAGTTGGTCAGTTTTCAAAGGCATATTTACAAAATAAGGCAAATAAAACATTTTTTTACAAAAGAAGGCCCGAATTCAGATAACTTGCTGAATGTCGTTGTTCTGGAAGAAGTGCATCTAGGTGTATCTCACTCTCCACCAGTGAGTTGTGTGTAATATGAACTATATGTTTGATTCATGGCCTCCAAAAATAGAATTATACAAGCAAGTTGTCAAGTGTGTCATTTAATCACATTTTAAATTACTGCTTTCTTTGTAGCTCACCTGAGCAAAATGATCTTTTGTAATAGCAAGATTTCCGTGGTGCATTATCCATAGTTCTAAACAATTTCTTAATCATATGGTAGACTTTGAAAAAAAATCTCAAATATTGAAATCTTAGGTGTGGCCATCTACAAAAGATATATTAATGTCTTATGCCCAAGTAGGTCTCAAGAGCGAAAATATTTGTTTCCAGAAACTAACATGCACTGAGCTCAGATATTTGGCATGTAACATTGCCGTGTGATCCTCTGCAAAAGTTACATAAATTATGCCATTGGGGTCAAAATTGGCTCCGTTTTGGGGCAACTTGTACATAGACTTATACATTAAACATGTTTAAAATATCTCCCCAGAACTACAATGTCCAGTGCTTATATATTTGGCGTTACCTTGTGGTCCTCTTAAAACAGTTGTGCCAGACAGACTATACAAGTGCTGATTTATAAAACATTCATAAAAGCTAATTTTGCCCAGATATCTTAAAAGGGTGTAAATAGGATCAAATAATAGCTATGTATTTCATTTCTGCATTATACCAGATGTGACAAAGGTCGTGTCGTACAGGATTCTAAATGTATTTACACTTCTATTTAAATAATAACTATTGATTCATTTTGTTAAGAAATATGCAAATGGTCAACTCACTGTCGGTATATTATGCATCAATCATTTAAAACAAGAAGACAATATTTTGAAACTGCTATACTTAAGAATCAAACGAAGTTAGTATAACTACTTTAACATTTTGACATTACAAAGATGTTGAAAGTAAATAATTGTTTTTCAAATAAATTTATTTTTCATAGTTTCATTTTTAATTAGACGATAGAAAGTCTCTTAAATTCTTTTTCCAGGTTCTTGAAAGAAACGAGGAGAGACAAGTTAACCTTTACTATAAGAAGTTATCTAATAAAGATTAATGTCTTAATCTTGGATATTTATTCAATAACCGCCACAATCGCCTCCTCCTTGCAAACAGGTATCCCGAGAATGGTCTGGGTGTTGACATCGGTATGCATTCTCATTGATGCATCTCCTTACGCCGCCGCCGCATGTCCAAAACCCATGGTAACTACAGTGACAAGCTGTATTTGCTGGGGGAGATTTGCAGACTTTACAACCTCCAGAGTGGTAACAGCAATCACACTGGGCACTGTGATAACCTTCGCAGTCGCCATTACCTTGGAAGCATGCCTGAATCGATTTATCTGGGTTTTTGCACTTTGGATTGTTGAAATCTCTGCATGGCTTTACACTTCCTCCACAAGTCCAACCGCCCTTATAACTACAATGACATGCTGTATTTCGAGGAGCTGGTTTACTGATGGCACATCCACCAGGGTGATAATCACAATCACATGTGGTGTCACCATAGCCGTCACAGTCACCGCCTCCTTCCGTACAGGAATAGATAGACGAGTCTGGGTTTTGGCAATACTGGGAATTTTCATTTTTGCAAGAAACTATCTCCCCTGAACAGATCCAAGCTCCCATGTATTTACATTTACATGCAGTGTGCGCAGGAGCAGATTTGCTGATTCTGCAACCACCAGGGTGATAGTCACAGTCACATTTAGCCGTATGATAACCGCCACAATCACCAGCACCTTGTATACATGCTAGATGGGATTTCGAAGGAGATTTGCAGTGAGGCGAAGATTCATTGTGACATCTGACGACGTCCCCCCGACATGTCCAACCGCCAACATATGAACATCGGCACGCTGTATTAGCAGGTGGTTCCTTTGATATCGAACACCCACCAGGATGGTAATCACAGTCACATTTAGCGTCCCCATATCCAGAACAATCACCGCCGCCAAGCACACAGGATTGAACTGATGTCGATGGACTTGCGCAAAGTTGTGAATTTTCATCGCTACATGGCACTATCTCTCCCCCGCATGTCCAGCCTCCTCTATAAATGCACTTACAAGCAGAATGACTTGGAGCAGCTTTGCTGATCCGGCATCCCCCTGGGTGATAATCGCAATCGCATTGTGCGTCTCTATAACCATTGCAGTCACCTCCACCATATAAACATGACTGAAGATCGGTTTGTGGGTTTTGACATACAGGAGAGCTGTAGTTTTTGCAGAGAACCAGATCACCTCCACATGTCCAGGCACCTTTATAGGAACACTTGCATGAGTAATAAGCAGGGGCTGGTCTAACTACTCTACATCCTCCAGGGTGATAATCACAATCGCAACGCCAAAGATTGTCTGGCTTTATTGTGTAATTACATCGGCAATTACAATTTTGAGACACAATTGAAACGGCTCCTTCTGGGGTATGTTGAACATTTCCAATATCACATGAGCATGCGCAATCTTTCCCGCTTATTGGACCAACGTCACCTGTCGTTGTTTTGTATGTTGGAAGCGGTATTCTTTCTGTAACCGTAGTTGACATTGGCTGTGTATCAATGTTGCATGAACAATTGCAAATTTCTGCACGCATATTTGACAAAGACCTGCCACTTTCTGAAAGGACATAATTGCTTCTTATTATATCGGTATGCAGGAACGTACAATTTCTATTTACCCAAAACCGAATGAAGTCAGATAACAGACTTCATTTTACTTATTTCTTTTTTATAGTTATGTTTTATTTAAAATAAAAATCATTATGCCCCAGATATTTTTAACTTTTTTGTATCCTGTTGCAGTTATCAAAATGTGCTTCTGTTGCTTTTTTGCAGTTAGTAGAGTTTAGGCGATTTAGTATTTGACTTCCATACAAAAAGTGTATGCATTTACTATCGTGACAAAATCACTTCTTAAGGCAAAAAGCATCTAACATGCTCCAAAAGCAATTATATGCACTTAATAATACTATTTAAATTGCCGACCGGTTTCTATAAATCGCAGTTTTTTTCTTTCTCGCAATTATCTTCTTTTTACTTTCACCACCTTATTTTTATATATGTACATGTATGTAAACTGTGAATTCTTTATTTGTTACAATAGACAAAACCGTATGAACACATCTGCAAATGTTTCTAAATTCAAAATTTTACCTGTTGAATTCTGCTAAGTCAGTGCTAGGGGCCGTGGACGGTAGTTTGCACTTGACATTACCGTCCATGAACAAGCTCATCCAAACCGAGTCTGCAACATTTTCAATTTTGCCTTTTTGGGCTTTCTTTAGGGATTCTCATTTTCTCTATTTTACATTTGCATATATTTCATATTATAAGAATAGTATTATTTCTTACTGTGAATTTGCCCTGGTGATTTACAGAAACCGGTAAGCATTTTATTAAACTCAGAAAACACAGTTAATATCAGTCACACGATATTCAGCAAAGACCATTAATTTGGTCACTTTTACTGCAAATGCCTATAGCGATAAAGTCACATCAACAGTACTTCGTTATTTAATAAGTAAGTAATTTATTTTTTGAAAATTTTATGATAAAGTTATAAATACCTGCATACTGTCCATAGATTATGCAGAACAAATTGCAAAGAAGACTAATCACTGTAGCAACGTAGAAAAACATGGTGCTCATGCAACTGGACACTAACGCGCTTGTAGAAACTGTTAACGTTTAAATAGTCAAAGATAAAGTCTACACAAAAGTTAATGTTCAAAGGATTAGCAACATTTAATTGTTTGTTTTCTCTCATATGATAAATCATTAAGATAAAGTGTTTTTTTTTTTAAGATTTACAGATCAAAACATATCAAAATAAAAAACAATGTGCGTAATGGCAAGAAAGTCTCCCACTGAGCTGTCAAAGACAAGAAGTCGTTAAGAATTGTGAAGATCAAAGATAAACTAAAATGTCTGATACAACTAAACAGGAGAATAAGTGCGAAATTGCAAACTATATAAAAGTGTTTTTTATCCAGAAATTTATCTATCGTTTCCACTTACGTACACTCAAGAAAGAACATTATCACACTTCTGTTGTTCAAGCCATTAGTGATTGATAAAGAAAGTCAAATAAAGATATAGAAAATTAAGTAGACCTCTTTCCTTGCTAATAAATATACGAGGGTTGTCCCAAAATGTCGTAGAAGTACTACATTATTTTGTCTTAAACCCGACGTCATAACTTAATAAAATTTATCAGATATCCTCCTTGGTCATTTGTAAATTTACCTGCTTAGAATCAAAATCCAATTTTTAAATAACACTTTTTATCTCGTTTTTAACTTTTACAGTACAACTTTCCCTGCGCATAAAATATGACATGTATTCCGTATTGTCAGCATGCTTCTGAATAGCATGCCTTTAACTCCTAGCATGTGGGCAGACGTCGTTAATTTTACGTCATTTCACCAACAGACGTTTATGTAACGTTACTTTGCAAAAAAATCGGTAAGATAATACGTACTGATCTGCTGTGCTATTTAGATGGATGGACAGAAGAGCAGCGGGGAAATGCCGGAAGACCCAACGAAAGAATTTGACGATCGGCTGATTCTGACAGTGATGAGATCGGATACTGACTATCCGGGAAGTTGCAATGTATTTCTACATTTTTACATAGAGGATATTTAGGAAAGATATATATTCTGAGTGCATTGTTGTAGCAATTCTGAGTGCATTGTTTAAGAAATAATATACCCCAAACAGTGATTTTATCGCTCAATAAAATCACTGTTTGGAGTTCGGATGCGAGGAATTATATCACGAGGGCGATATAATAATGCGCATCCGAACGACAAACGGTGATTTTATCGAGCGATAAAATCAATGTGTGGTATATATTATTTCGATTCTAACACAACATCAATAAATAAATGCTGCCGCTAAATTGCGCCTAAATTTGCACAGATGATTCGAAGAAACCGATCGGAAATTTATTGAGTCTCCACCCAAAGCGACGCTGCATATTTTGATAAATAAAACTTCATGTTGCTCAAATATACACTTCTTTTATACCACTGATTATTAACATGTAAAAATCACTATCTACGAGAAATCATTTACTTGAAAATCAAGGAAAAGTCGCGTGTTTGGGTTCCAAGCCTACTTACAGACATGAACATCTAGAATCGTTCAACAAAAGAACACCTCGTGGAATGAAAATTTATTAACTCAGTGGGTTAATAAGGTAGGCACTGACATTGTAATGCGTTTAGCGGGATATACAACATACTTCGAATCGAGTTTTTTTCTTCATTTCTCGACTATATTGACCTTGTCCCAATTTGTGCAAACTAGATTTCAGTCACTACAAGTCCATGCATATATACAAGCCTTTCAAATATTGTACTTGTATTTTGTGATAATTTCGGAAAAAGATAAGCCCTGAATTACATATATCTATGAAATTTCATATACTATCAGATCGTTGTAAAATTTATAAATCAGCAACTCAAGCAATGCAAACCAAGTGACCCGAGGACAGGGCACTTTTTTATGGGCATGGTTTACAAACATTTCCTAGAAGTTGACAAGCCAATGTTTCATTCAAAAGAGCATTGTCATTTTCTTATGCAAGTCTACAAATGAATAAATCAAGTGAACCCCAGGGCAGGGCTAATTTTCATCACATTGGACAACAACGTTATGCTAGATGTCAAATATCTTTGCTCTGGGAATTGTAGTTTCGGAGATTTTCAACACATGTTTACTCTAGTCAAAGCCATTTTTTACCAAGGGGCAAAATTCAAATAACTTTAGCAGAGGTTCATAAGGCAGTTCCACATGTCAAGTGAAATGTCATTTCACTTAAGAAAATTTATATGTATCAGGGTCTTTCAAGATCTTTTTGAATGCATTTTACTTTATCTGCCTTCCATAAATGGTGGGGCTCATTTTGAACCTGGTGCTTGGCAGAGAACCACAAGATAAAATAATAATTAAATATCTGCTCTCTGGGTATTGCAGTAAGAATACGATTTTAAATACCACATGCTCTGATTTAAATGTGTTTCCCTATTAAAGTTTATATCAATTTAGAGACCCGATGGGCGGGACCAATTTTGACTCCAAGGACACGATTTATATAAATTTGTGAAGGACCGAAAGGTAATGCTACACGGCAAACATCAATGTTCTGGACACGGTAGATTTTAACAAGAGCTGTCACACAAGTGACGAATGCCCCCGAAAAGGTTTCTAAAGCATGCCGGTATTATGAAAAGAAAAGAGAATGAAAGTTACTAATTGCTTAATATTGTTCTTTGTATTATTGTATCTATAATCTCTAATTGTGATAGCGTGAACTTTCAAAATATAAGTGTGACCTTGACCTTTGAAGAAAGGACGTGGTTCTTGACCGCAACAGAATATTGTCATGAGATAGACATTTGTGCCAAGTTATTTCAAAATCCCTCAATGCATATCAAAGTTACAATCTGGACACGATTGTTGTGTAAGTGAGTACACACGGACGGACATGAGCCTTAGCCGCGGCACATTGTCTTGATGTGGTAGACATGTGTGCAAAGTTATTTTAAAATCCTTCCATGCATGACAAACTACAGTCCGGACATGATTGTGTATCTTCAAACACTTCTCAAGAGAATGAGTATCTTCGAACTACTCGTATAAGTGTGACCTTGACGTTGAAGGTAGGAACATGGGTCTTAGTCGCGACATGTCGTCTTAATGTGGTAGACATGTATGCCTATTATTTTAAAATCCTTCGATTCATGACAAAGTTACAGTCCGGACAAGAATGTGTGTAGGTATAAACTATAATTCATTAATTGTGATAAATTGAACTTTAAAATAGTAGTGTGACCTTGATCTGTGAGGTAAAGACGTTATTCTTGGATGTGACACATCATCTTGATTTGGAAGACATTTATGCCAAGTTATTCAAAAATCCTTTTATGTATGATAAAGTTACAGTCTTGAGACAAATGTGTGTACCTATAAACTGTAACTGTAATAAAGTGAAACTTTAAAATGTTAGTGTGACCTTGATCTTTGAGGTAGAGACGTGATTATTGGACAAGACACATTGTCTCTATGTGGTAATCATTTGTGCCAAGTTATTCTAAAATCCTTCAATGCATGAGAAAGATACAGCCCGGGCATGATTGTGTGTACCTATTAATTTCAATAATGTGAAACTTCAAAATGTTAGTGTGACCTTGACCTTTGAGGTAGAGACGTAATTATTGTCTTGATGTGGTAGACATATATGCCTAGTTATTTTAAAATCATTCACTGCATGACAAAGTTACAGTCCGGACAGGAATATGTGTACCTATATACTCTAATTAGGATAATGTGAAACTTCAAAATGATGTGACCTTGACCTTTGAGGTAGGGACGTGGTTCTTGGACACGACACATCGTCTTGATGTGGTTAACATTTGTGCGAAGTTATTTCAAAATCCCTCAATGTATGTCAAAGTTACAGTCCGGACACAAATGAAGAAGGGACGCACAGACTGTTGGACAGACAGACGAACGGTGCGATTTTAATATGCCTCCCTGGGGGGGGGGGGGGCATAAAACCATACGTACTATAAATGTCTATGGAAACGAGGTATTCCAAGAGTGGGGCATTTTTGATCCCTGGGTGAATTACAGAATATTGTGAAGGACCACAAGGTAATGCAACATATTTAAACTTTGTGCTTTCGGAGATTTATAAATACTAATATTTCATTTTTAAAATTTATTTCAGCTCTTGGAACTTACTTTTGCATCAGGGTAAAATCATTTATTGAAGTTTTGTGGTGGGCCACCTATGAATCACTCCTGTGAAGTTTGGTCAAAGGAGATGCCATTTAAAAATTGTGATAACAAAGGAAGATAAAATATGGAGTACTTGCCATCAAAAAAGCTCATCTTAAACCACTATTAGCCAAAAAGACCTTTTAGACACAGCTATATTATGTTATAATAAACGGATTATTTTCCTTTTAACAGGCAAAAATAAAGCCAACAAAAGAATATAATGAAATATATTTTATTTGAAAATAACAGATATAAACCTACCTCAGGCAAAATTACACTGATAAAACATGAAGCTGATAGACAGCGTTATAAAAATGAAAGTATCTATAGTAATGTATAAATCTAAAAGCAGAATTATATGTCTCAAAATTGCACTTATTGCATATCATAATCATGTGTAAATCATCACCTTACCATTAGGCAATTGTATAATATACAGTCAGTTTTACTGTCGAAGTCGGATGCCCGTCATATAAATCATTAGTCTTGTAGGTGAGTTAATATAAAATACAAGAAACCATTCATTACTTGTAAATTCAAACCCTGACTGATCCGTCTAGTAGACGAGTAAATACAAAATACTAGTAGGCATTTACAATTGTCTTTTGGTAAGGGGTAAGGGAATGAAATTCAAACATTATTTATCAAGTTAATGGTAACTTTAAAAATTCGATGACTACACAAATACGTATAATAAACAACATGCCCCATATAAAGAACTTTAACAACCAGACCAAGGTTTTGAGCAGCTTAATTAAATACAGAGATGTTTTGACAATATCATATTTATACTGCATTCAGAATTGATGGTTTTGACATTTCACAAATGTAAATTTGATGAAAAAAGAAACAATATATTTGTAATGTGATTAATTAAAAGATTTTCAAGACATAAAAAAACTTGTAGGCAAATATGTTTTCAGGCTATCTATAAATTGTAATATGAACTTTACACAGACTATATTATATAAAAATTGAAAATAATAAAAAAAAGTTCTATAAATTAAATATAAACAAACTACATCATATCTTGTTTACAAAATGATTTGGAGAATGTTCAGACATAAATGATAAAATATCATTTCATGAAATAATATGGTTAATTGATAAGGCTGTTTCATTTTCGATGATAGTGGTTTTAATTTAGGCCAACGAAACTTAAGCAATTATGAAAAACAACAACAAAATAACTTTTTAAACAAGATAAATTTTCTACAATCCAGGAAAAAACTAATCTTAATTTCACTAAAACTGGCACAAATTCTATACCGTATTTTGAAATCAAATAATTTAATTAATGTTTTTAAGTCACTAAAAATCTATATGACAACATTTAAACACCAAAACTTGTTTAACAACAGCCTAAAAGCAAGAGCTCTAAGGAATCAACTTTTCAAAATGGTTAAAACAGAGGTGAAATAATCTCTATTCAATGAGAATGAGTACAGAAATTTGAACACGTTCTGGTTTATAATTAACTACTCTTCTGGTTTATTATTAACTACTTGAGTATGTTACATTGCTGTAAGAGTATGCCACATAACTACTTGAGTATGTCACATCTGAATGAGTGCCAAGTGGCATAGGTTCAAATGCTACGATTCTCTTGATAATTAACTGGCATTTTATAAGTAAACCTGGTTATCAAATGTCATTAAATGGATAATCACCTGTTAGCATACCTTTAGAGTATATTGTTTCCCTAGTATTTACTAGGCTTACATAATATGTTAAAAATTTTAGTTATTGATAATTGTCATTCAATGATATTTTGGAATTGGAATAAATGTTACCTTTTTCGCAGAAACAGTTAACCTTTAGGCAGAAACTAGTTGTCTATTGGCTAAAGTAACACAACTTCTTCAGTATTTTACAATAATAAAAGAACCTTTTAAAGTATACCAGTTACAACATTTCACATTTCAGCAGTTTTTGTCTCTTGTCATATGTGTAAAATTAAGTACACTTTTATAAGAATATTGAAGATTATAAATAGATAATACTAGTAAATGAATATTTATAGGCAAATAAAAATTTTGATACAACAAATAAATCACAATATAAGGGGAAAGTTAGGGTATGTAGGTGTATATAAAAATGTATACAGATCTTTAAATGATTCAACATAACATAAGCAATAACAATTATTCTGTATGGCCTCATGCAAACAACAAACATATTGCAACAAAAAAAATATGTAAACATTTATATAATTAAATAATATAATGATATTTATAGCATTTTCCCCATATCCCACAATCCTCATCTCTATCAACTATTTTCTATCTGTGATTTTTTCATTTTCACCATGTACAAAATATAATTAATTTTTGTCAATGTGCTTTATCCAAATAAACTATTTTATCGTATATTTCATAGCCAGATAGTTTCATTTTACTACCTTGGGGAAAAACTTAAAACATAGATTCTTTCTTTCTTTACAAAAAAATAATTTCCATTCTTCAATAGAGGTACTATTCAATTATAAAGAAATCAGTTATGTACTTCAAACAAATGCATCTAGGTTTGCTGCAGATCTTTAAAAATAATCCCAAAAAAAAACCTCATCAAAGCTGTATTTTTCTGTTTTGTAATAAAATAAATGTTATATACAGCAACTTAATACAGATCAAATTCAGCAGTAAAATAGTCCAAGTTGAAAAATCATAATATATCATCATACACAGTACAAACTGTAGTATACAATTCAAATGAATAAAAAAAACTTAAAAAAAAAATATAGCATGATGAAATAAAATCACTTGTTGACACTTGACAGCATATATATCGGCCTGGATTTATATAGTAATTTTATATAATTATGAATAATTTCCAATATCTAAACCTGCTACATCATTTTATATCTTTAATGATGTCAATCATAATTTTTATGCAATCATAAACAAAATTAATGAGCATAAAATTAAAGTTTTCATCATAATATCAAAATAACATTGCAAAATATTTAGTACCAAGAGCTGCATTTAGTAGTTAATTCTATACATGAATTTATAACTGAAATATCAACAAATCTATTACCATTAATGCCTTTTGAAGAAAAACCATTCAGCATAATGCCATCAGAAAAATAAATTTTTTTGGCTAAATATTTTTGAGACATGTTGTCAGCACTTGAAAAATTAAGATAAAATTTCAAAACTATAAAAGTTTTTTTTAAAACCAGCACTAACTTATGTAATAATGTCATAAACAGTAAGCCTAAATGAAAAGTAAAAATTTAATAATGGTGCATAATGGAAATTTTTATCAAATCTCACATGATAAATGTGTTAGATCAGATTATGTAATGATTTAATGGATAGACATAAATCATTTTAGATCATATATATTTCCTATATCTTTCCATCTAGCCAAGAACATTATTCGATAATTTACAAAGTCTATTATTTATTGGTTGCACCAAGTCAATTTCAAACAGTATAAATCAATAAACTGAATGACGGATAATAACTTATCTATGACAACAGGAAAAATCCCAATATTTCCAAAGAAAGGTCAAGAAACCCATATTATATTACATTGCATAGTTTAAGATTTATCACTCGGACCAGAAACATGTCATGGACTTTATTTTTCTAAAAATAGTTCTTCATTAACAACGGCAGGAGTACACTAGGCTTTCTTTAACGAGACAAAAATCATATAACTAGCTTTATAAGCATTCTAAATAATTTCATTAAATTGCATGTACATGGATTATCTTTATTTCATTTCTAATTTTTTTTTTCTTTCATTATTTGATACAATATGGACTATATTGATTATCTAAAGTAATTATAACATCGCTAAATAGTGCTGTTACTTCACGTATACCATGGTCGTTTTCTCAACCAGCGGATTGTGTATCCGGAGTCGACGCGGATCTTGATGGACGCAGCTTCAGCAGCACGCACTGTTTCCTTGACGGCTTGCATCAGATTTTGGGCATTACCAACCAACATTTCTGTAGCTTCTTGATCTTCTTCTGAACCTATAAATAGTAATGACATCATGCATTGTAATTTAAAAATAGCATATGATGCAAGCATTGCATCATTCTATATCTATATATAGTAACAACATCCATGCAACATTTATAATGTATGATAGTAGAACCGTACCTTATGACCACTCTGAAATCCTCAGAACAATATTTCAAAAGCAAAAGAGAAGACCACTTTGTTATATTAATTTGGAGAAATATATTTTTAATATAATTGGTAGTAATGCCAAGAAATATTTAGGTATAAATATGGTACACTGTAGCAAGCACTATAGATCACATGAAGAATACAATTAAAATGCAATTAAACAAAGATACTTGATGAATATACTGATACTTTCTTATTTATATTATGTGTATGTATGATATTTAATACAGGAGATATTTGGCCTGCAGAGTGCTAGCAATGAAAATGGCAAGCTTATGCCAGCAGTATAAAGCCAGATCAGACTGCATGTCAATAAAGTTGACAAAAATGCAGTCTATGTGTTACACTGTCCGCTCAAATTTTATTATTTTGATACTGAAATCTCTCAAAACTAGAACTATCACTAAATGTGATTAATACCCCCACAAGACTGCTTCGGAAATGAGGATGTTACTAGTAACAGAATACCTTGTAAAAGAATTGAAATATAGAGTTATGGTTGTGGGCAATTAAAGATAGTTGTGGTTCTTGTATATTGCATTTCCTTTCAATGTGGTTGACCATTCAAGAAGTTTTATTGAATTACTCTGTAATAAGTCCAGAAATACAAAGAAAAGAAACAAAGGGCAATAACTCTATAAATACTGAAGATGGAGTGATAGTTCTTGTGCACTGCACTTCCTTCCTCTTTTTGTGCTTGACTATTGTATGAAGTTGTTTTGAATTTCAACCAGTACGTTTTAAGTTATGCTCCAGACAAGGAAAAGTATCAAAGGGCATTAACTCTGTATTTTGTCAAAATGGAGTTATGGCTCTTATGCACTGCACTTCCTTTTAATGTCCTTGACAACTGTATGAAGTTGTATTGAATTCCAAACAGTAGTTTTCAAGTTATGCTCTGGACAAGGAAAAGTAACAAAGGGCAATAAGTCTGTAATTTGTCAAGATGGAGTTATGGTTCTTGTGCATTGCACTTCCTCTCAATGTGCTTGACCATTGTATGAAGTTATATTGAATTCCAACCATTAGTCTTCAAGTTATGCTCCGGACAAAAAAAGCAATGGAAAAGTAACAAAGGGCAGTAACTCTGTAATTAGTCAAGATAGAGTTATGGTTCTTGTGCACTGCACTTCCTCTCAATGTGCTTGACCATTGTATGAAGTTATAATGAATTCCAACAATTAGTCTTCAAGTTATACTCCGGACAAAAGAAAGCAATGGAAAAGTAACAAGGGGCAATAACTCTGTAATAACTTTAGATAGAGTTATGGTTCTTATGAACTGCACTTCCCCTTATTGTGTTTGACAATTGTATGAAGTTGTTTTGAATTCCAACCAATAGTGTTCAAGTTATGCCCCGGACAAGGAAAAGTAACAAAGGGCAATAACTCTGTAATTAGTCAAGATAGAGTTATGGTTCTTGTGCACTGCGCTTCCTCTCAATGTGCTTGACCATTGTATGTAGTTATATTGAATTCCAAGCATTAGTCTTCAAGTTATGGTCCGGACAAAAGAAAGCAATGGAAAAGTAACAAAGGGCAATAACTCTGTAATTACTTTAGATAGAGTTATGGTTCTTGTGCACTGCACTTCCCCTTATTGTGTTTGACAATTGTTTGAAGTTGTTTTGAATTCAAACCAGTAGTTTTCAAGTTATGCCCCGGACAAGGAAAAGTAACAAAGGGCAATAACTCTGTAATTAGTCAAGATAGAGTTATGGTTCTTGTGCACTGCACTTCCTCTCAATGTGCTTTACCATTGTATGTAGTTATATTGAATTCCAACCATTAGTCTTCAAGTTATGGTCCGGACAAGGAAAATGCAACGGACGTCTGGACCGACCGACCGACCGACCAACCGACCACCGGGTGACTCCTATATACCCCCCCAAACTTCGTTTTTGGGGGTATAATAACAGTGAGCAGTTCTGAATTCAAAGCTTAGCACGTAGTCCTTTAGATATATATTCAGCAAGATATGCAATAAATATGAAGAAGTAAGATGCTAGCAAATTATAGTAGTAGTAAGTATAAGAATATAATAAAGGCCTTCATTGCACAGATTTTGCATTAAACAAATAATTTAAATTTGTGCTTTTAATATTTAATTCATGAAATATTTTCGTTGGGACTTAAATACTGGAGGAGTGACCAATCCCTACTACAGAATGTTGTGTAAAAAAGGAGAAGAAATGGGTACTTATAATTCCAAAGTAATATTATAACTGGAAAATATGTCATTACAATTAACCAAAAATATTTTCGATTTCATACTTAATCTTTGACTCTTAAGACAGACTTCAAATTCATTTGCAGGGAACAAATAAATAAAGACGATCATAACTAAAATACGATTATAAATATCACAAAGTTGATAAAAAAATATTTCATAGTACTTGTCGATATTTTAATACTAAAATATTTATTCCACACAAAGTTGAAAACTCAAGTATTGTCAATGTATTTGAAATACGGGTGAACCTTCTTATAAAAAACATCCTTTATCTTGACACATAGCTTCTTAATATATACAAAATAATATATACAGTATTTAAATTTGTTCATAGAGGACAATCAAACATATTTAGGTGACCTAGCACCAGTATTCACTACCATAAAGCTATGCATAATGCTACAAATATGCAGTGAAAGAACAAGCATTATAAAGCAGACTTACTAGATTCTGTTTCCATGGCAACCAGAAAGCAAGCAGAAAATAGAAAAAATAAAAAACACACAAAGTTAGTAACATGTTACAAAATCAAACAGCAATATATTTTCATACTGTTACTGAATAAATAGTTCACCAAAAATAAGCTTTAAAAGGGACATAGCTCCATAATTACATTGATAAATATCAGATACCGGTATTTCCATCTAACTTGATATGTCATCTTAAAGCAGATAGGAACATTTTTGTATTTTCATTTTCTTTGGCAAGTTTATTTTATCTCATAAATATATTATCTTTTTTTTTATGAACACAGTCGGTGCTATCATATGCATGTACATTTTCTTTAAAGGTACATTTTGCCTCAGAAATGAGTAAATTTTTCCTCCTTTGAAAAAAGCATTATATATCTTAAGGTGCCTTTAACATTATCAGACCAAAATCTGGAGATATGTCCCTTTTTATACATAAATATAAGCCAAGCAAATCACAGCAAAAGCATTTCAATATTGAATAAATTAGTCATATTCCATTCATAAACACGATTCATTCTAGAAAACAATTCAATAAGAGAGACCCTTAATATTATAATATAACTTAATGCTTACCCACTAAATCTTCAAACAAAATAATTTGAAAGAAACTTGATTAAGAAAACTCATTCTCTAAGAAATTTATGAACATTATATGGTGTTGAGTCCTAAACTTAACCCAACATTAGTGTCTTATTTTATATAATAATATTGTCTTAATGTAGGACTTAAACTTATGATCCCTGGATAGAGGGCAAGCCACATTTACCACTAGAGCAGAAAAAACATGTTAATGTAGAAATCTGCTCATATGATTAAATAAAAACTTTAACATTGAAAAAAAATGAATAAAATTTAGCATATTTAAATAAATTATAAACACCTAAAATAAAATTCCAATTGGCTAAAAAAAAACCAGCAATGACTATAGTTCCAAATCTTCTAAGAAGAAATACTAGAGCCGGGTACCAGTGCATTGCTTCCCCTTAAGTGCTTAGTAAAGAAATATCTTCAAAGAATGTTACAAGTTTAATATTTGGACAAAATTATAATTTGTTGTTTTGTTTATCAAGTAATAAAGGAGAAGTGTTAATAAAAAGGAAAAGATTAGTTTCACCTTAAAAAGAAAAATATTTTGAGTTCTTTTTGCAATAATTGTACAAATAAGGGCCATAATCATAACAAGAAGATGAAAAGAGTTATTGCCCCTTCAACCTATTAACTTGTTGAATGATACCAAATATTGTAAAATAAAATTAAAAGATTTGGGGGACATTAGCAATAAGTTATGTGTTTAATTTAACCTTAAGCTTGCTGGTCGCAACTGGATCTGCCCATGTAATCAGTGCAGACTAAGACAGACAGGTACATCTGTGCTGTCTGATCATGGTCTGCACTGTTCCCTATTCAATCAGTAAATACTTTGAAATTTTCTCGGTTTTGTTTAGATTGAAAAATGGACAAGTTCATTTCAGATATGTTGTGGGGTAAGGGCTTATTTTAGACAGACCATAGTTATTGACATCTGTAATCAAAATGTCACATCATGGTATTTTATACCAAAGAATAACCCCACGTTTAAACATTATATGGATTAACACATGCTTATATGACATGTATACATTAGGTATATTTCATGCTTAAAACAGGTATTATTTTACACAGACAATTGTATACATATGCATTATTTAAATTATCAGTTTATTATATGATTAAAGATGCATCATTACTATTGTTATAACAATTAGAATTTGTTCACATACATTTCATGCCTTCTAGTAGATAATGTAACATTAAATATGTATGCAATATCAAGTTCACATATAACATCAATGTTAACAGTTTATTTTGTAATGCTGGCTTTATAAACAGTATAATGGAATTATCAAGTTAATGTTTAAGTGGGTGGGGTATATCACACATTTGTTGTGCAGTACGATGCAAAATGGTGTTTCATTCGTTCACATCTTTGTCCTTGCATCTGTCAACCTGCTCCTATTTTCATGCTTACAAAAATTATAATTTTAAAATTTGTCCAAGATGGTTTTATTTCCATCAAAACATATTTATTATCAATTATATTATAAAAAATTATCACCACCAATACAGATGTCTAAGAATGGTTCTGTATACAATGTAGAATTACGTTACTTTCATCAAATTTTTTCAATTTACAGAAAATTAAAAGATATCTACATGTATTTGCAATATCTTTTATATAAATTTTATCATATAATCTGTACATAAATTATTAATTTTTGGTGAAGATTTTGTAAAAACTTATATATAAATGGAGCAGTGTTGACACAATGCACGAGAAACTTGTGTTTTATGTTTACCGCAGGCTATTTCACTGCCATCAGGAGCTGGTATTGGCTCTGTATGAGAAATAGCTACATTCATTAACAATTTCATATATTTATCCATAAACTACTTAAATTATAGTAAATGAGCCCCTTCTTCTTCAAGTTACAGATCATCAACTTGTCCTTTGAATTAGATGTTGCCCCCTATGTCCCTTGTTCTCCCCACATGACATTCATTATTGATTTCATATATTTACTCATAAACTACTTAAATGATAGTGTATTTTCCTCAACATGCAGGCCTAACCCAAATTTACAAAGTTGCCCCCCCCCCTCCACCCCCTTGCTAGTCATGCCCCTCTCACATCCCATCCCCATCTGCAAGTGCCCTGCAACTTTCCCCTTTTTGGAGTAGTCTATGACCTTCAATAAGCTAGTAGGTAACTTCTTAAGAACTCATTCAATCTTTGACTGTATTTAAATACACAACTATGCCAGACAACTGTGATTAAAAGTCAGCATGTTTGATTGACTTGGTTATGGAATTGCCACCCATTTACTTTTCATTTTTATAAATAGTGTCATTTTTAAAATGATTTTGCTTTTTTACCAGTAACAAACTGTATAATAATCAACTTTCACCAAGCAAACAGGCATAATATATTCATATTTACAATATATACATGTATATAGAAAGAAAGCATAACATATAGGCATATTTATAAGCTGGAAATGTAATAAATGTATGGAACCAAATATATATACATGTTATTCCTAATACCCTTCTATTTTATATGGCAGTTTCCTTGTTTGTTACAACCTGAATCTAGTTATCAAGCTTTTTCAAAGGAATTCCAATAAATGCTCAAAATACACTCATAATTGTAGTAATGTTTATCAATGAAAAAGAAATGACAACACTAAAAGTTTAACACACACTCAAAGTATTTATGAATATACAGTTAGAAATAAATGCATATAATTTTGAAATTATTGAAGATCCCTTGAAACAGCCTTCTTTAATAATTGTGTACGTCTCCATCTAAGTCAATATTATACATTAATTTGATATATAAACTAAACAAGAAATATATTATTCTGGACTGACAAGTGTGCTCCAATTCAATATCAGACCTGGTAGTTCTTGATTATACATATTGTCCTTCATGTGTTTTAAAATATACATTGAAAGAATGGATTATTTGCAAAGATAACCCTACCCTGCTGGAACAAGAAACATAAGCGTTTACTACCAGTATAGAGCCAGGCTAGCCTAGTTTGGTCAGGCTCTATACTGTTGGTAGCTCTTTCTTTTTTTGTATAATGGTACTAAAATCTCTTAAACTTCCAATGGACTGTTCTATATATGAAAGGGATTAAACAATGATTATCGTTATGTCATACTTTTTTTGGTTGGGTTTTACTTAGCACTAATTAAGTGAAGGTAACATGGCAACTTTCAAGCTTTACTGGTGGAGGTAGACTCAGGTGCCTCTCTGTACATTATTTCAGGTACAAACAGGCACTCGAGTAGAACCACTGACATTCTGTAAGCTAGCTCATTTAAGAATCCACCTGCAGGATTTGAAACATTTTGCAACTTTTAGGTTTTTTCCTGACCAAGAAAAAGAAACATTTTGGAACTTTTAGGTTTTTTCCTGACCAAGAAAAATGTCAGTAGTAAAGTTTACTCCTTTTAGACCAAAGAAGAAAGTTCAAATTCTAAAATACGATGAATAGCTTCGGTGAAAATGATATATTTTGCTTCTTTGAAAATAGTTTGAAGTCAGTCCCTCTTATTGCAAACCCTCCAACCCACAAAAAGCCCCTACCATACAATGAAGGACAATATCTATAAATACATCAAGGTGAACACAAAACAACATGTATATAATCTCATATCCTGATAATGTATATTTCTACTAATATAATATTTTTGTGATTTTTTTTTCATTTTTCGCTACCTGCTGCTTCGTCTGAAATCAATGACCGTATTCATCAAATACACGAAAACTTGGTATCATATTTATTGACAATAAATTATCCTGTATATATATAACATGTACATGTATTCAAATTCATTACTTAAAGAATTAATTTAAAACATTATATGTAGTAAAAATTCTGAAATATTTCCTCTCTAAAAAAAATGTGCAAAGGAATTTCTCTTTTTCTTCTCTTTTACATACATTACAAATTTTCATATTCTTTTAGATAAAAAATACTCATCCCATGAATTAAGAGTTCAATTTTTTAATAAAAGATATATTCTACAAGGGATTTTCATTAATGCACAGAATACATCAAACTTCACAGAGAAATAATTTCTTATTAAATGTAATCAATATCATTCTCACTGCACATAAACACCTGGTACAAAAATCTAAAACTTCCAAGTTCTAGTCTTACTTAGAAGTTCACCTCATTTCACAAAACATGATTCTAAAAATAAATCACAGTCTACAAGAGTGACCTACCTTGGGCTCCCAACATTGTTGCTTTCACAGTGGAGAGTATTTTCAGCTGAGTACCAATTGTTGGGATTCTTTCACAAACTTGTAACAAATTCTGCAAAATAATAATGATGCATATCATGAAATAATTTAATTAAATATACTGATGCAATAACTTGTGCAACAAAAACATAATGTAACAAACATGAATTTCATAGGGAAAGATATAAAAGATCAATTGAAAAAATTAGGTTTTGATTTTGTTGGCATAACAAAAGTACAATCAATACCAATGTCCATTTCTGACCAAGTAAGTCACCATATAAGATCACACGCTTCTCATAATCATATTATCAATACAACAATAAAAGTAACATGGATGCACCTGCACACTACAGTTTCACAGCACCATGGACAAGAAAAGAGAAAATCTATATATATCCCATCTACCCTTTTCCTCAAGTGAGTTGGGGTGACAAATTCGCCCCCTCCCCCTTCTACATCCCACTGTATTGCCAGTTTACATATGGACAATATGCCAGTTTACATATGGACAATATGCCAGTTTACAAATGGACAATATGCCAGTTTACATATGGACAATATGCCAGTTTACATATGGACAATATGCCAGTTTACATATGGACAATATGCCAGTTTACATATGGACAATATGCCAGTTTACATATGGACAATATGCCAGTTTACATATGGACAATATGCCAGTTTACATATGGACAATATGCCAGCAGCACAGCCAAGGGCAAATCTATATAATCTATATGACCCCACCCCCTAAATTTGAGGCATAAAAATGTTCAGAATAATGAAAGTGTAAGAATAATCTTACAGTTCTCATCTTCTTATCAGTACACTCAGCAGCAAGTTTCTTGGCAAGACGTGTCACCTCCTCTGAGGCCTCAGCTATGCCCTTTGCTGTCGAGATCAGATCTTTCTTCGTACCTCCTTCACCTCTGTAAATTACAACACAAATTTTAAAAACTGACAAAAATTCTGTGAGGAAGATATCTGCACATGAGCTTGCTTTGTTTAGACTGTTTTGTCTGCAGTTTCAGCCCTTAAATTCACCATATTATAAATAGTAAACTTAAAAGTTTTCAAATCACATGACTTGTGTTGCATACCATCAATGTATCAATAGAATTTTTCCAGTTAAAGGCATAAGTTTTGTCAATGAGCGCATATTTTTGGTCACATTCAATTTAGAAAACTAATTAACGCTTACACATTCTGATTGGATAAAGATCTGATGCCATTATTTAATTAAAATTTTTTTTTGTAAATAAGTTCTGTGGTATAGTACCATACTGAAAACGATCAATATAGGTCTCTGGGCAGAATAAATACATGCAACTGGTAATTACCCGTTTCTCCGCAAGTGACGACTACTAATCCCACATGATCTTTAAGTCTGCAGTGAGTCAAATGATCATTAGACACAATGTCCAAGACCAATTTCGTCCCGGAGAAATTTTGCCTCATCCAAAGAACGAACCAGTGACCAAAGGATTACACATCTAATGCTCACCTTATTAAGCTAATCAGACTTCCTAGTTGAGGAAGACCTGCTGCACTTTATGAATAATTTCATGCACAAACAACTCATGGGTAAATATTAAGGTATTTAAGTTACAAATACTGGTCCTACCTGACTAGCTGACTGAGTTTCACCATAAGGAAGGCCATTCGTTTGGCAGCAGCAATAATTTCATTGTCTTTACTGGACCATTGTTTAGCTTCCATATGAAGAGCATGGGCGGCCATCTATAATTCAACAATAATATATACTGTAGTTATCCTATACAAATACCTTATCACTGATTTAGCCAGACATTTACTTGTCATATATTTTTAAACAAAAGCCTGCAAATTAATGCAGCTTTTCAACTAATCACTTTTCTGTCAAATTTATCTATAATTGATCAAAAAGGTTTAAAACATTCATAATGTATATGATTCATTTTGAATTAACCCTTTTTCAAATTCAATTAAATCAAATACAATTTTGCTATAATATTAATAATATTAACTCAACGACTGAATATAATGACCCACAAATTACTCATCCATTTCAAGAACTTAGCATACCAGTTAAATGAAACTGAAATTCATTTGAAACATTGTAAAGAATATGGATACATCTAGTTTATATATATATATTCTAGTGAGTTTCACAGGGACCCCAACAGTGTTTATATAGCATCAAAAAACACTAGTAGAAAAAAAAACATACCATAAATGCATCATACAAGCTATAAATGAATAAAGTATGTTTTTTCTCCATATATTGATTTTTACACTATCCAAAAACTGTCCGGTCTAGTTTTTACTGTTGGCATTATTACACTGATTTCCTCTACTAAGATAGTCTTACCATAATGGGCTGGTTTTCCTGAGGAATTGGGAAATTCATGTCATCTTCATCATCTGTTTCTGGTGGTGGTGGGCGTGGTGGCATTGTATCCGATGGCAATGGAGGGCGGGGTGGTCCATCTGTAAATATATTGTAGCCACTTAAAGTTAGAAACCATTGGCCAGTAATGGTGGAAACTCTTGACGAGCACATGCAAAGAACAAATATATCTTACACACACTCATTTACCCTTTAACCCCTGATTTTGTGTTATACAGTTCTCTTGTTGTCCATTGTTAATTTAGGTATTTTAAGATCAAAATACTTCCTATAACCATACATCATATATAATACAATAGCAAACAAAAGTATACTGGTTAACAAAAGTGTAAAGTTGTACCACTCAAGCCAGTGCTAGAGGACATGAGGGATGTTACACTTTTTCGTAATCCCACATGTACAGACTCAATCAAACCAAGTCTGCAATTTTCATGTAATTTTGTTTTGATTAATTCTTCAGAGAAATCCCTCTTTCTCAAGATTTTTTAACAAAAGTGAAGTCTGCCAAAAATAAAGGTTGCAAAAGGTATACAAACTGGTTAGACTGCACGGAGGTACCGGCTTACCTGGCTCTATACCGATGATAAAAATCTTACATCATCAACACCAGAGGTTAAAAGGGTTAAAGAGACATGATAATCACAATATGACATCACACGGCTAAGTTACATCACAATATAAAAATCCATTATAACATATTACATTTTTAATACAACTATGATATAATAATATCTAAATAATGTATTTTTCATCATTACATATAAAAGAGTCACAATCTTAAATACTGATTACACTTATTATGAAAGCATATAAATGTATATAAATGATTATAATTAAAAAAATTCTGTATTAAAAAATTATAGACTGAAAAATAATAAGAGCACAATGAACAAATCATAAGCCTTCATACTTATTCTGACCATATTATACATGTAAAATGCATCAATCAAAAATCCTGCTTTTTAACACAAAAAAAACCATACTTATGCACACTATGCAAAAACTTGTCTCCACAACAAAAATACAACTTCCTTAACAAACAAGTAGAATATTAAGAATATATAATCTACATATTGGTGGTATTAATTTTCTACATGTTAAAATGTTGCATGCATTATCTAAGTCTAAAATGTACTCTTTAAAATCTCTGTTTTTTTATGTAGTCTTCAGTGCCAGGAATTTGTAATAAATTAAACATATCAAATGACATTCAAAACCAAAGTCAATATATCCCTGAATCAAGCAAATGAGGAATAAAGGAATAGCCTTTTTTCTAACTTTAAAACAAAATACAAGATAAGCATTTATCTATTTTCTGTTGCTTTTCTTGAAATTTTCTTTCAATTCTATTGTCATCCTTACCTTTATCACATTAAATAAATTTACATGTCCATTTTTTAATCTTGACAATACCATTTTATCACTTTTAGGGAGAATTTCAAAATAATGACCGATTGAAAAGGGAACAGAGCAAAACATGATTTCAGGTGGCATAGATGTGCAGGCTGATATTGGGTCTGTTCGATTCAATTGTTTCCAGTAAGGCACAGACTCACAGTATTCAAGTTAAAGTATTTAATTAAGATATAATATTGATCTGTAACAATCAAGCACTAACCATATAACCATAAATCATCCACTATAGTCTCTGAGAGAGATTCAAAGAATTTTAAATCCTGTTCTAACATTCTATTTCTGGTATAAATCCATGCAGCAATGTGTGAGATAGTGTTATATACTAAATTACATATCATTAACATATATATATACAAAACTAGGTATTTAACATGCAATTAACTGTCAAAATTTAATGACTTGGTTTCCTTAAACAAAAACCATTGTTTTAACAACGTCTATATGCGTTAATACTGTCTTACTTTTTATGATATATTTCAGGCTTTACTTTTGATCTACTGACCTTTAACCAAATTTTCTAATGAACTTGCTTTGAATATAAAACATTCACCAGATTTCAGTATAAAAATATTTCAATTGAGCAGTCAATCAGTTGGATATGACTGCATTTTCTGCAGGTTTACATGGCCCTACACTGCAGTGACACCTAAACGCAAAGTTCTTTTTTGTCCCTCGCATTTTACAGGGTTAAATAGATATGACACGAAAATGAAGTATTGATATACTTGGCCTAACCCACACTGATATAACATGCCTGAAAACATTCAGTTGCAAAACAATACTGCATAATTATGCTGAAATTTTCACACCTATGTGACCTGACATTTTATTGAGTTATGATTTAATAAATTTAAATTTATAATGCCCTAAAATTCTCTTTTTCTCAGCATAATGAGGAATGTTAAGAAGAATTGTCACTTTCATAGGAACTAAAATTTCAGCATACTTAGCTTAAACAAAATAAGCAGTCACAATATACACAATAAACAATGCATAATATATAGATATATGTTGGTTTTATTTAAACTGTGGTGTAGAGGCGTCTTTTGGTTAGATGTGAGGTACATGATGTCAAAGTCTCACAATATACCTGCTTCAGGGAAAAAAAGGAAAAACTTATTATTCCAACTGGTGTTAATGTTTGGGGGTATATATGCAAAAACAATTCCAGCTTATAAGTCTCAAATTTTAGTAAATTAATTCAATTTTTCTTCAAATACGGCAGTTTTCTACAAATTATGTATGTATAAAAGTACTGGTTAAAAACAGTTTCCAGGAAATAAAATCTTAGAGAATTATAGACTGGAATTGTCAGGTAACAAATTAAAAATTCATCATTCCAGAACATTCATTTCAACATTTTGTCCTTGACCTTCATAATAAGAGCTGTATGCTGGAGGCGGGGGTATAGGCGGAGCCACTGGGACTGGAGGCGGAGCCGGCCTATGGACGGCATTTTGCTGGTCTCTCTTCATGGCAGCTGTAAAGGTATAAATCTACGTTTAAAACATTCCATAAACATTTTATCTACCTTGCAATATATATAAATGTATTATGTATAATATACGAAAGCTTCTATCTATTTCATACATCTAAAACTACAAGATTTTACAAGTAGGCAAATATAATGTATTACTACATCTTTATAATGTATTGCTACATCTTTAAGGCAGACTTCTATTTTTGAATCAGACATGTTTGTAGGGAAAGCAGGAACTAATGTCTCACTATCATTTTTAAAGAAAAGAACGTGTGACAGTGACTTTATATTTCATCAAACATAATAATCGAAACAAGTTTTTTCCAATAAACATGCAGTATATTGTTTCTTTAGACAGATCTTCTCATAATAGATTAATGAAGTATTAAAGTATATGGCAAAGATCTGTTTTTAAAATGTCTTTACAATGAAATTATCATGTTTGATGATAATAATACTTGAAAACAAAGCAACTTAACTCCAGAAAAGTCACAGCAAAAAAAAAGTTATAAAATTAATGTTATTGTCCTTTGTTCGGTTGAATTTTCACCTTTTTTTCTTTGCTCGAATTTGAAAATGATACCTTAAAATGTAATAATTAACCTACTACTTAAAAATTTTATATAGAAGAAATACACATCTTTTACTTTTGACTAACCTTTTTAAATATTTAGGAAAAATATTATAATGTTTTCAAAATTAATGACCTTTTAAATAACATTTATGTCATGTTATACTTAAAGTTTACTAAACTCAAATAACAGAAAAGAACCCAACATGAAAAAAGTACATGCTGTACAAACAATAATGAACATATAACAAATAAACAAAACATTTAAAATAAACAAAAAATAAAATAACATAAAAGTATGAAATGAAACTTCTTTAAAAACATTATACCTAATCTAAGAGATTACTTCTGTAATAAAATACAAAATTAACATAATTGTGATGTGTCTAGAGAAATCATCCAAACTGCTTGCACGGGCAATTAACGCATATCCCAGTCCAAGACAAATTTTCTATAAGTTATCATACGTCATAATTTATGCCTTCAAGAAACTGCAGATGTAACAAGCTTATTACAATATTTGGAAATCTAGTTTGAAATTTATGCTCTAGTTTATGAATTATTTTGTGCTGAATTTTAACTAAGGGTTTGTACTGGGTAACAGTCTGATAGTAATTTAAAGGACTTACTAGTGAAATACTGAAACAAAATAGAATTTGACATGACTGCACAAATGACAAGCTGGCCAAGATTTTTGCTTTTTTTAGGGGGTGTTGGCGGTGGGGTGGTAGTGGTGATGGGGGGTTCATTTTACTTTGACTGATACAGTATAGGTCATATGGCGATTTTCCAGCTTTACTGGTGGAGGAAGACCTCAGGTGCCTTCCTGTACATTAATTTGGGCACAAACGGCACCGCCAATGTACTGTTTGCTGCTAAAAAAACAACTTAAAATTTCTTAAATAAAAAATTATGATGAGGAAAGAAACCAAGTAATATTGCTCTAAAGATAGTTACAACTGACCACATTGTTTAAGCAATGTTCTCCAATCAAATTTGAAGTATGCATGATGGATTGACATAAGGATGGCTTAAAAGTGAATATAAAAGCTAATCAGAAATTTAGAGCTTTTAAAGTATAAGCTTAAGCTTCACACATTGATAAATATAACAGAAGGGTGAGGAAAAGATGAGTGACTAAATCAAATAATATGATCTACTTGTTGTTAAACTGAGATAAAATTCTAAGAAATGATATATAATTATAGCATCTATAAGATATACTCAAACTAAAAATATATTGAAATCATAAGTTATTAATTTCTAATTGTGTTATCTATAATTATATTTCACTCTGATATTGTCTTGCGTTAGTATGTGGGAAATCTTTATATACAAGATATGCGTGTTTTAAGTACCTTCATGAGCTAAGGCTTGGGCCATTTGGGGTGAACCCGGCCCACCATCTGCAAACTGGTCTGGAACTGTAGTTATATGTATATTTGTATATATATAAATCATTTCTTGCATATATATTATATATTTATAAATATCTTGTATTTGTTATTTTCAAAAATGGCTAATTGATTGATTATACCCATTTAATATCAATCAAAAATGTCACTACAATATTATATAAGTACAGTATACAAAAATTAACATATATTTCATTCTTTTGTTAATAAAGTATACAGAAAACACAATCATTCATTCCAAAATTATATGAATATCATATCTGATCATCAATATACTTCAAAATACAATCATCTCTGCAATGTCAAATTAATAATTTATTTCTTTTAATTAGGTATTAAAGTATTGTGTAATAATGATGATGATGATAATGATTTAACATGATAATACAAAACAACAGAACAATTTCATTTTGGAACATTTCTCAACATAAACACACCAACAAGTTAACATCTCTTGCAATGCCAACCAGCAAAATATATAACAAAACAGGCAAAAAAAGCCTTTCTTTTAACAAACTCTGAAAAATGAACAAGTAATTAACAAAACATGTAGTTCCATGGTTAAACTAAACATTTAAGATAACCTGTTTAAAGTGTCTTAAGATTGTTTACCTCCCTTTTCTTCAACATGACCCAAAATCACACACCATTCAATATGCCCTCATAACATGACTATTTTTTTATTTAAACTTGAATAAGTGCCTGTTTAACCATGTAAACACAAGACCTGAAAACAATTACAGTTCCTTGAAAAGTTCTAAGGCAAAAAAACACATTAATGGCGATTGCAAATTTTGTCAGTTCAAATTTAATTGGTGAACTGTGATTTCACATCTTCAATCCTTACCCTGCTAAATTTCTTAAATGAACTTGTCCTGTTTTCATTTTTAGGACTGTCCATTATCAATTTAAGGGATGCCAAATGAAAATTTGAAATTGGTTCAGTCAACAGTATGAAGCCTCCTGGCCACAGACTGCACAGATATGCTTGTTGGCCTGGCTCCATACTGGTGGCAAACATTTATCACTTTTGATTCCGGCAGGGATAAGGTTGTAATCTTTTTTTGTTTTTATGACAGAACTTTTCATCAGAACTGTCTTAAAGGACATACAATTATCAGTTTGTTTCACAATTTTGCATATTGGAACCTTTACTATTTTGAATGAAAGCAATCTTAATCCATTACTTATAAATTTAACAGTAAACATGAAGTAACCGAATACTGATAAAAGCAAAATAATCATTATTTTTATTGATTACTTTTTCAAGTAATCAAACACATGTCTGATGTAAAGATTAAATAAACTAAAAATAAAAGTTTTTGCTTTACCAACAAATATGTGATGTACAGAAAGGCGAAAAGTGATACAAACTGTTCATGGATGGAAACACATTAATAAAACATTAAACAAGAACAGCGATGCCAAGCAAGCAACTAAAGCCATGCGTCAGGAATTATACCAGGGGCAGGAATTCTAGGATTTCTACCTCTAACAGGTAATATTTTATCATGTTGATTCACAGGAACTGTAATAGTTGTCCATTGCAATGTGGGCGATGCTGCGGGTGACATTAAAACAAAACTTTTTTTCGGAACTTGCTTTCTAATATCGGTAACTGGATTGAAAGAAAGTGTTGTTGCCACCTCTCTCGGTATTGTTGAAGCAGGGATTGCTGTTTTTAGTAGAAATTTTTCAAAAAGTTAAAAAGAGATGCTACATTTAAACTAGTTGTTACTTTGAAATCTAATCTGCAAAATTGACAAAGCACAATCAAATCTTAATTTGAATAAACAGTCAAATTTCATTTCCAGAAAAACCCTGACATATCAGCACAACTTCACAAAAATGTTGCAAAGTTAGACAAAAATCAATCAAATCTCAGTGATGTGATTATTGGAAGAACACTTAGAACATTGTTAGAAAAAGTTAATTAACTAATACACTTTTTTGTCAGGGATTCAAGACAAGAATTCATTTACAGAATCAAAATGGCAACAACTAACAAAGTGGAAGATAAAATTTATCACATAAGATTTCAAAGTAACTTTTGAACTGAAAAAAATGAAGTAACAAACTTGATTTTATCTAAAATACTGTTTCTATACAACATCCCATAGTCCATTACCTTGAGAATTACAGTAACACAGTACTGCTTCACTTAACAACAAATAGCAAATATCGTGACAACAGAAAATTTTGATTTTTTTCTAATATTTTTTTCATATTTTATCAAAATCAAATAAACAATATTCACAATAATTTCCTAAATCAATATTAGATTGCTTTAAAGTTACAAGGTATTGCTTGACTGCTCGAGATGCCAAATTTAACTTTAACACTTGCCATGCTAAATGTCCCAAAATGGACTTGTCCATCTTTCAGTCTGGTCAAAACCATATGCAATTTTTAGGTAGACTTTTAAATAAGAAACAGCTGAATGGAAAGCAGTGCAGACCATGATCATATGGAACAAATGTGCCGACTTCAAGGTATAAAATCTATCCAGATGTTTTTATTGAAACAGTGTTATATTAAACTTGTTCTAAAAACTAATAAAATAAATGGAAAAAATGCATGGTCAAAAAACCAAATGGACATGAATGATTCAAATAAAACAAAAACTTGCATGAAATATTAATGGTTTCAACTTAAAAATGAGCAAAACAAACAAAATAAGGAATAAATGAAAATAATGTTTAAAAACTAAGGGAGGTAATCATGCTTCTTAGCTATGCACTTTATGTTTCTTAAAAGATTTTTCTATAAAAATGTTTTCTAAATTTTCAATGTTTATTAGATTTCCCTAAAAATGTTTTAAAAATTTTCAATGTTTAAAATTTCCCTAAAAATGTTTTCTAAATTTTCAATGTGTAATAGATGAAAGCTTTTCTTCATATAAACATGATAGATATAATCTGAAACTCTAGAAATGTGTTTTTACCCCATCTAATCCCGGGGTGCAAACAATCTTTTACAGTTTAATCAAGGTAAATATATCAAAGGACAGCTATATATCCCTTGCCATAGTAAAACATTGGAATGGATTATAAGTGAGAAGGGAGGTTAGACCTCAAACTGTGATCATTTGGGTCAGGTAATTATCAAAACTTTTTATCACTACTTTAAAAGTTATGAAGCGGACAAGAAATGTGGACTTTTTAAATTTGACCTTTAAGTGACCTTGACCTTGGGGATAGAGATCTGGTTGTTGTGCTAGGCTCATCCTCTCATAATGGTGATCTTTTGTGTAAAGTTATTTAATGTTGATCTTTTGTGTAAAGTTATTTTAAAACCTTTTTATCAGTTTAAAAGTTACTGACAGACAGACTGACAGACAGGGGCCATTCTTATGTTTGTTTGTTTCATTTTACGCTTTTTCCCAACAGTATTTCAGTCATATAGGCGGGTAGATTCCTGACCATCGTTCCTGGAGAGTTACACCAGTAGTAGACTACCTTCCTCCGTGCTAAACTACCAAAGCATCTCCCGGGAATCGAACCCACGCCAGAGAGGTAACTGGAGTAGAAGTCATCGACTCTAACCGGGGACCACAGAGGCGGTTGGTTGTGCACTGCGATGCTACAGCAGTAATATTTTGTTTGGATGGAAAACCCACATTTCCTTAGTTCCGAATAACATCTATTTGATATTTAAACAATATTCTGTTTTCAGACCAAATAATATTCTATTAACAGATCAATTGGTATCCTATTTTTAGACTAATTAGGCCATATAAATGGTATTGTGCAGGATACAGTATCATGGTGAGATATAATAAATTAGTTAATACCGACTGTAAGTAAGTAATGATTATATATAAAGGTAGAGGTAAAATGTAGTGATATTTCTTGTAACATGTGCATTTAAATATAATTATTTTCATCTGTTGTTGTATTGTTAACAATAGGTTAATCTAAAGAGTATCATATTCTTTTTATAGATGACAAAAGATGGATTTTTATGCTGTATTAGATTTTAGATATACTTTTTTTTTGTTCTGACAAAAAATGTGTAATTCGAAAGGGATAAAGTGCATAACATGGGGGTGAGAACGTCTATAAATGTGACTCAATCACTACCTGATGACGGGTAAAACCTAATTGTACTATGTGGACTATTGTAAACTATCGGGCTAGACCCATCCGGCCTGTCTACCGACGCTTTGGGACTACCTAGTCCGAATATGTCGCTAAATTCCTGCGAGGGCGCCAGCTGAGGCGGAGGGGGTCGCCTAGGTGGAGGCGCTGTGAATGTTGGCTCTAAAAAAAGCGAAGCAGACGAAAAAACATATATACATTATATAAATGCTTATGCTGATGCACCGTAATTCTGAACAAGACTGAGGTAACATTTTTATATACTGAAATGTTACACCCATCTTGCCCCAAAAATCATCTTTAATTTTACTTGAAAGTCAATTAAATATTATCTCTATTAACTATGCTGTGTAAATATTGCACTGAAAAGCAAAGGTATACATTTAAAATGATATTTGATATTATATAAACAAGCATATTTGTAAGCTACAACATTGCACCGGCACCATTTATATATAACACATGTACAATACTGACACCATTTTAATCTTTACTACATTTAACATTATATACCACAGTACTATATGTGATCAAACAAAATAATATCATTAGATATATAAATCTGACAAACATTACCTTAGAACAATAATAACATTTCATTCTGAAATATTTCTTTATCTTCCGCAAAAAATCTAGTAATTAATACCTATGAGCAATAGTTCTAAAAAATTTCATACCATTTCACATAAAGCTGGCTATTAAAAATGTTACCTAATTCATACTGATTTCTTTTTCTTTTTTCTAACTTATCATTTCTAAACTTTCTCACATAAACATAAGTAAGTTAATAATTTTTAATATATTACTGCACTAATACCAAACACAAACAACAAATAACAATATGTATTTTTACCAAATATGGCTATATATCAAATATTGCTGTATACCAAATATGGTCATATACCAAATATGTATTTGTACCAAATATAGATGCATACCAAATAAGGATATATACCAAATATTGTTTCATACCACAAACAAATGTATACCTGATATATGAAGTTGTGAGAGGTCTGGGGGTGGGGGAAACATCTCCTCGGCACGGAATCCCTCGGGTGTCACATCCACCGCCTTTCGTACCTCACCGACAGCTTTGATCAGCTGCAAAACAGAAGTGAAAAAGTTAATTGGGTTTTATGACAAGCCAACACCAAAAAAAAAAAATTTTAAAAATGTAAAGCATGGGTTTGTTTTGATTCCAGTAAGATAAATTCAAGTTTTGATGTTCTTTAATCCATGCCATGCCATGTCTTCATACACTTGTACATCTTTCAATCTGGACAAAAACATTTATCATTTTAAAGAAAAAAAAATCATAATAAGTGCTGACTGAATAGCAAACAAAGCAGACCATGATAAGATTGGAAAAATAAGCAGGCTGATCTTGGTCTGCACTGGTAGCATGGATAAAATCAGTTGCCGTCAGCAGACTCAGGGTTAAAAACTAACATAGGCAGGCAAACAATGCCCATTTATTGAACATACCCCTTGATTTGTTGACCTCCAATTGTTGGCAGCACCAGGGTCTTGTGGTTGCATAGAAACAACCTTCGCACATTGCACCATTGGAGTTATAGCTGCAATAAGGAAACATTACAAAATTATCTCTAAATTACTGAACCTTTCAAAACCAATAAACAAGTTATACAATGTACAACACTTTACAATCTGAATGTTTGATTATTATATCTTTTCTTTCTTCACCTGAGTACAAGTATTGACCATGTAGAATTGATATGGACATTTTGTGAACATCCATTTAATACTCCTTTATGTACATGTATGTATGTATCATGATAGTGCGAAATGAAAGAATACTAGACCAACAAGTACTAAGCAATGAGTGTAAAGTTCCTTGCCCACGTAATCAACAGCTTGCCCCTGACAGGGTATGAACCCATGCAGCTGGCAATCCTTAAATTACTAATCCGACATGTTAACCACTCAGCCATGCCATCAAATAAGACCATTTTGTTCTTGTTAAATACAATTCCTCAAATTCACTAACTGTTACCTAAGGAAAACTTTTCAGCCACAAAAATATGAAATCTACAAATCTTTCAAAACTGTTAAATGAAAATCAATATCTTATAAATCAGTTAAATAAAGGACACAATCTTACTAGATCTAAGTTGTTCCGAAGCTCTGTTAACATTATCTACAAATTTCGGATCTTCGCTATTCTCTGCCTCCTGTTGAGCTACTTGTAGGACACGATTTGCTCGTCGGGCAATGTTTGACGCATTTGTTACAATCTTCGGGGAATCAACTGTTCTGATGCCATCTTCAACACGGTCTGTATCCCTCAGAATGCCCTCCTCTGTAAACAATAAGATAAAAGTTTTACATAAATCATACGAAAATATGTATGGTCAAGCATGAAATAAACACAATACCTCGAAAAAATGAAAAAAAATTACAAAATGGCAGAAATTAACAAGAGGGCCATGATGGCCCTGAGGTCGCTCAAACCTGTATATAGGCCCCCCAACCCCCCCCCCCCCCAAACGTTGCAGGGCCAATTTAACCAAAGGGCTTTTATTTGCACAAACTTGGTAGACACCCATAAGAAGATGTTTCATGCTAAACATCTAAGCTCTAGCTCATTGGGCTATTTAAAAGAAGATTTTTTTAAAGTTTTTACTATACACATATAGTTAAAAACATGACACCCCTGGGGCCGGGCCAGTTATGACCCCAGGGTTTTTATTTGAACAAACTTTGTAGACACTTACTAGAATATGTTTCATGCTTAATATCTAAACTCTAGCTATTTGGGTTTTTTCAAAGAAGATTTTAAGTTTTTGCTATACACATATAAGGAAAATCAATGACACTGGGGCGGGGCCAATTTTGACCCCAGGTCTTTTATTTGAACAAATTTTGTAGACACTCACTAAAAGATGTTTCATGCTTAATATCTTAACTCTGGCTATTTGGGTTTTTTCAAAAAAGATTTTTTAAGTTTTTGCTATACACATATAAGGACAAGAGCGATCAGTAATCACATGTGTCGCCTCATGATGGCCAATTTCATGTTTGGACAAATTTTGTGACAGACTGACAGACAGAAGGACAGTGCACAACTAGACTTGGTACTGATCATTCCTGTAAAGTTTGGATAAAACCAGTAGTTTATGAGGAGTAGTCCGGACAAGCTTTTGCGTATCTGGCAACACACAGAAAAAAACACCTTTTTATCAAAGGGCCATAACTCGGCCAAAAATCATTCAACCGGAAAACCCGTGCAATATGCGCAAGGACTTGAGCTACAGATCAATCCTGTAAAGTTTCATTGAAATTGCATTAGTGGTATAAGAGAAGTAGTCCGGACAAACTTTAAAAATAAAAATTATTAAAGGGCCATAACTCAAACAAAAATCATTGAACCGGAAAATGCTGACAATATGCACAACTAGACTTGGTACTGATCATTCCTGTAAAGTTTGGATGAAATTGCACCAGTAGTTTAAGAGGAGTAGTCCGGACAAGCTTTTGTGTATCTGGCAACACACAGAAAAAGAAACCTTTTTATCAAAGGGCCATAACTCGGCCAAAAATCATTCAACCGGAAAACCCGTGCAATATGCGCAAGGACTTGAGCTACAGATCAATCCTGTAAAGTTTCATTGAAATTGCATTAGTGGTATAAGAGAAGTAGTCCGGACAAACTTTAAAATTAACAAGAGCTGTCTGTAGGACAGCACGCTCGACTATTCTCAGTGCTTGATAGTAAAAGAGCCTTTATATTGTTTAATTTTTTAAGTTCACAAAAGGGCTAATTTTTTTTATAAATTCATGTTATAGGCCTAAGAGAGAGTCTAATTATACAGTATTGGCTTGACTATTTGGAAGGTAATGTCACAAGGGTGTTTTATTGAGTATAATAATACTAATTACCTATGAATAAATAAATTTGACAGAAAAGGTACAAAGGCTTGTTATTAAGATGTTTTATCAAGTAAATCACTGCTTTATTATTATGAATGCATTAAATTGTCCCAAAAAAGGCACAAACCCTTCAGTAGTTATTGAGATAACAACTTACAAGAAAAACTTAACCATGAATTTCTAAGTTGAAAAAGGGGAGAAAAATCAGCCTAAATGCAAGATAGAATTATGGATCTTTGTCAGTGACCTACAATTATGACCCTAAACGCATATGTGAAGTTTTTAATGAATATCTTTAATAGTTATTGAGATATGTAAAACTTGCATGTAAACATTAACCAAGAGACTAAGTAGAAAAAGGGGATATGAATCAGCCTTAATGCAAGATAGAGTTATGGAACTTGGTCAGTGACATACAATTATGACCCTCCAATTATGACCCTAAGTGCATGTGTAAAGTTTCAAGTAAATATCTTTGAAGACCTTTAATCTTTAACCAAAATTTCTAAGTTTCAAAGGGGCGAATAATTCTGCAAATATTGCAGGCAGAGTTATGCAATTTTGCAAACTGATGTACATTGTTACTATAAAAAAGTATTTTAAATTTCAATTGAATATCTCAAGCAATAATTGAGATATTTGACTTTACAAAAAAACTTTAACCAAAATTTCTAAGTTAAAAAGGGGCAAAATTCTGTCAATATTGTAGGCAGAGTTATCCAACTTGTCAATCTGATGTACCTTGTTACTCTAAATAAGTATTGTAAGTTTCAATTGAATATCTGAAGCAATAATTGAGATATTTGACTTTACAAAAAACTTTAACCAAAATTTCTAAGTTAAAAAGGGGCAAAATTCTGTCAATATTGTAGGCAGAGTTATCCAACTTGTCAATCTGATGTACCTTGTTACTCTAAATAAGTATTGTAAGTTTCAATTGAATATCTCAAGCATTGATTGAGATATTTGACTTTACAAAAAACTTTAACCAAAATTTCTAAGTTAAAAAGGGGCATAATTCTGTCAATATTGTAGGCAGAGTTATCCAACTTGTCAATCTGATGGGCCTTGTTACTATAAATAAGTATTGTAAGTTTCAATTGAATATCTCAAGTAATAATTGAGATATTTGACTTTACAAAAAACTTTAACCAACGCAGACGCCGACGCGGACCAGACCTGGGGATGATTACATTGATCAGTAATTGATTAAATTACAATTACTTTCAGATTTTATAGTAATTGATTAAGATTGATTACTCACATTTGCCTCTGTAATCAATTGAATTACAATTACTTTAAGAGAGTAATTGATTGATAATTGATTACATTGAATGTACATTAGACTGCCCCAGAATTAAAACCACCCCGCTATTAAGACCATTTTAACGAGATTCTTTAAGTCAATGGTTTCATGATCCAGATTTAACCACCTGCTTATTCACTTTTCAGACCACCATAATTATTCAGTCCAAATTTTTGTTTTAATTTTAATGTGACTATTGAGACCACTGATATTAAAGTCAACACCTATCTAGATCTTAAATTTGTTACTATGATCTGCTTGAATGCTCTTTAGCATGACACTTGATTTCACAAGGTGTGAAAAACTGTTATTATTGGGTTATTATATGAAATAAGGTGAGAAGGTCAATTTTAGAGTGGTACATTGTTGCTTTCAGAACATTTATTTTTTGAAAAATTAAATTTTCAATTGATTTATGTACATCATATAATAAGTGATACTGTGTAATGAACGTTAAATTTCTCCAGAAATATGTTTTCCTTTTATAAGATTAAATATCAAAGCATTCTTTGATAGTTTCTTTTATAATGTATTTGTAGGTACATGTAAATATACATATTGTTTATTCATACAAAATGACTAAAGTAGACCATGGTCTTAAATTATGTAAGCAATGGATAAGAATATTCACTTTGTTTCAGTCTAAATGGTGGTCTTAATTGAGGATTTTTACTGTATAACTAAAAAACAAAAGTTAAAACTGTGTAACATAGACCTTTGAATTTGTTAAATCTGAAAGTAATCAATGTCAATCAAAATGTAATCATAATTACTGAATGAATTTAAGCTGTAATTGATTAATTACAATTAATGTAATCAATTTTGGGCAAGGTAATCAATTACATGATGATTACAGAGTAATCATGTAATCAATTAAAAAATCAATGATTACAGTTACTGATTACCCCAGGTCTGACGCGGACGCTGACGCCGACGCCGGGGCGACTACAATAGCTCTCATATTCTTCGAATAGTCGAGCTAAAAATTAATAAAGGGCCATTACTCTGACAAAAATCATTGAACCGGAAAATGCTGACAATATGCACAACTAGACTTGGTACTGATCATTCCTGTAAAGTTTGGATGAAATTGCACCAGTAGTTTATGAGGAGTAGTCCGGACAAGTTTTGTGACTGGCGCACGGACAGACAGACAGACAGACAGACGGACAGACAGACGACGGAAGAAGTGATCCCCTATAGTGTCGCAACTAACTCCGTAGAGGCGACACACAAAATCAAATGAACCCCCGGGGCGGGGCCAATTTTTGACGCCCAGGGCTTTTATTTTGAACAAACTTGGTAGACATACTTATTAGAACATGTTTCATGCTAAATAATCTTAGCTCTAACTCTTTTGGTTCTTTAAAAAGAAGATTTTTTTTAAGTTTTTACCTATATGCATATAGGGAAAATCGAAATGACCCCCTGGGGCGGGGCCAATTCTTGAACCCCAGGGCTTTTCTTTGAACAAACTTGGTAGACACCTATTAGAACATGTTTGATGCTCAATATCTTAGCCATAGCTCTTTGAGTTCTTTTAAAAGAGATTTTTCAAGATATGGCATAAAGGGAAAATCAATGACCCCCGCCGGGTCGAGGGCCAGATTTTGACCCCAGGGCTTTTATTTGAACAAACTTGGTAGACACTCACTAGGATGTTTCTGCCAAATATCTTAAAGCTCTAGCCTTATTGGTTTTTTTAAAGAGAGTATTTTAAGTTTTTCTTTCCGGTTTGCCAATGGCAAACCAGGTTTCTGCTGTGAATTAAATTCTTTGAACAATTTTTAGGTGCCCCAAAGGTAACATTCCTGTGGAAGTTTGGAACTGGAAATTGCCTGGTGTTTATGAAGGAAGATGTCATTTAAAGTAAAAGTTTACGGACGACGGACGACGGACGGACGCCGGACGAAAAGCGATCACAAAAGCTCACCCTGTCACTTTGTGACAGGTGAGCTAAAAACTGATAAAGTAACATTATTCATTGATAAAACGCATAACATGCTGGACCTGTTACAAAAAGGGGAGACATGTAAACAAACATGCCTCTTTCAAGCATAATATAGGAAATAATAAAAATAACAACTGAAACATTTAATGACCAGCTTTTTTTCGAACATAAGAATATGCAAACTGAACAGAGGAGGAGGATATGCTCAAAAATAAGCAATTCCCTAACATTTATGGCCTGGACACTGGGAAAGACAATTTAGTTTATACAAATTTATTTAAGTTTGACTGTGTTGAAAGCAATAAATTGATTGAAACACTGGAACTAACCAGTGCTAACCAATGAATGTAAAGTTTCTTGCTCAAGGAAACAACGGCTTGCCCCTGACTGGGTTTAAACCAATGTGGTCACTCAGCAATACTTAGATTACTAGTCCTACATGTTAACCACTTGGCCAGGCTGCCACTACGAGAAGATACTTCAACATACCTTCAGCTTTGATCAATGCTGTAGAATCAACAGCCTCGTCTACAAGATTTCTCATTCTCTCCATGTTATCACTCCATTGTTTCTTCAACAATTCAAAATGCTCTACAGCCGCTTGATTGTCAGGGTTGTTGAACACAATTTTTGCTGCAGTCATCACTTGAGGTGTTAAATCATTTGCCTACAGAAAAATTAAATAAAAAATAAATTCCTGAACAATACAAAAACAGACTGGGTTTTTAAATAATACTGACTCTCTTAAGTCATATGGCAACTTTCTAGCTTTACTGGTGAAAGAAGACCTCAGGTGCCCCTCCAGTTGCCCCTCCCTGCATAATTTAAAGCATGTATTGGCACCAAAATAGAGCAACTGAGGTTCCTCAGGCTAGTTGGATAGCTAACTCATATGAAAGAATCCTATGTCCCTTGCCGGATTCATACTCTTTGATGTAAGGGCAAGATATTTGAGTTCAACAACTGTTAACAACTCAGGCACAGATGTCTCAATAAAAACAGAGAATTTAAACATAATATACAACATTTCTCACATGAAAATACAATAATGTTACCCATATACAATTCTATACCAAGATTTGTGTGACAGACACCATTTTAAGACTATTTTTAGCGCTTGATAGCATAGCAATAGGCATTCAAGACTTTCCCAAGTTCAGTGAGGAGAAAAATCTGCGAAAATAATCGCTACATTTTTTGATTTGGTCAGTGCCCATCAATTATGACCCTTAAAACACAAGCAGTGAACTTTCAAGCGAACACTTCAAATAGTTTTGGAGATGAAAAATGAAACCAAAAGCTTTAATAGTCACGCATTTTTGATATTACAAAGGCATAAATCTGTATTTATCCATTCTACATTGAACTGTAAAACTGTAAGACAAACCTGTTTTGAAGCTTTGAATATTTCCTCTACAGTTTTTTTATTCCTACAACCACCAGCTGTGGCTACCATATTAGCTGTGTCAGCAAGTTTTCTAGCATGACCTTCAAAGTTATGTTTCTTGTCTTCAAAGTTGGCTTCTCTACCAGCGGTACCTGCACAATATTATTTTCAATATATAAATACTGATATTATACATCAAAAATACAATTTTCTTGACAAAATTTTACCCAAAGAGTCTGGTAAGTTCATTATACAAAGTAAGTAAGAAATAAGGAAATAAGTTAAAATTGACATTAAGGACAATTTTTGGAGTTTTCATATAAAAATATAGGCAGAATTCATTTTTTAATAGAATTTCTTTAAACTTGACATGTTGTTAGAATATGATAACAGAAATATTTCAAGTGAAAATAAGTTGTGTTTCATCATTCTCACTTCTGAGTTATCTGCTAATACTGAACAGTTTTAATTTTGCCAGTATGTTTGGTATCTCTGGTATATGAAAACTCCCGAAAACCACTTTATAATATCTGTAATTTTTCAGAACTCTTCGTATATATGTCCTACAAAAAAACTAATTTAAAACTCATTCCAAGTCTTAATTTGTTCAAATAAATTTCTTTTAAAAGTCATATAAATTACCTAAAGGCACCATTGATGCTTCAGTAAGTTGTTTTAATGGTGTAGTGATATCAATAAAGTCCTCCGCTACTTGATTGACTAACGCCTCTTGGATTTTAGTCTTTAGGTTATGAAGTTTTTCTGATAGATGTCTGGCAATAGCCTTAGCTTGAGGTGAGTTTCCCTGAAGAAAATTTATAATAATGATTATTACAAAATAGCACAGTTTATAATATTCATCACATGTAAAAGTGAATGCACTCTATTTAGTCATGTCCTAGTGTCTCTTTGCTGCTGAATTAGCTTACTTGTGTTCCTATATTCAGTTAAAAAAATTAATTCTCTGAATATGTCTTGCAACAACTAGTGATGGAAATCGGATGAAATTTGTCCCAATCGATTATCGGTTCAGTCGGATGGGACATAATCGATAACTTTTCGAATAAAGTCGCGTTAAAAAGAAATAGGGAAGTAACATTTCTTACCAAGGCACTTGATAATATTCAGTAACATGAACTTCATTTAGCACTTTTCAATACAGTTTTAACCATTTATAGTCATCATTTTACGAAATAGATTTTATTTTTCAATGGCTGTCGAATAATAACATTCACATCACATTATATTACTATTGTTTACATCACGTATTGATCCTGTTCAACTCCAAATTGTCTCCGAGATGAATTTTTTGAGATCGGCTAGGTGTTCCTAAATTAAAGTTACCGTCAGAATTAATTCCCTTTGATACTTTAAACATGTTCGACGATGTCGCGGAACAAATAATTGTGAATCGATTATTGTCGCTTTACATAACAGTAACTGATTATTGGCGACTTGCGACAATCGGAACATCACTAGCAACAACCAACGACTTTCCATAGCAACCATTGATATCCATAGCAACCTTATATTTCCGTAGTAACAAGTGACTTCCCATAACAACCAGTTAAAAAGAAACGAAAACATTTCTATCAGTGGTTGATGGTAACTCATGGATAGTAAACAAATCACTTTAAGCTAATGTGAGAAATTTTCTTATTCTTAAAAGAATTAAATTCAATATTTATATCTTTTGTTTGTTATAAGTTTGCACTATCTAGTGTTTGCCACATGAAAGTTTGCACTATCTAGTGTTTGTCAGCCAGATAAAATACATACTTGTCCTTTAGCAATAAGATCAGCAAGTTGATTTGTAAGAATTTCTGTTTCGTCACACAGTCGTAGAAGATCGGACCGGAGTGGACCGGAACAACCAGCAGCTATCCTACGTCCGTCTGCTACAACCATTCTAGTTGCTTGTTCACCTATAGAAATACAGTATTTGTCTGATACAGCATTTTAAAGTACTTTTTCAAATCTTTCAACAAGTGTTTTTGTTAATAATAAACACATCATATCTTAAACATCACAATGGTTTTCATCCATGCTAAGCTGAATTTTTATGGGTTTTTTTTTTCCACTAAAATCTTACCAGAAAATTAAATCTTATGAATTACATTAAAAATAAACATTTTTGCTTTAAATTAAATATTGACATATGCAATACTATGAAGAAAACTTTTATCTTTTCAATAAAATATGACAATCTAGGTTTTGTTGCAACAACTTTGTGAAATAAAATATTCATAGGGTTATAACAATGTTATTCTGAATACTAAGAAATTCTCAAAAACTTGAATGTTTGTACCTATAATAATCAACATATGCCGATCGTATAAAATCAGTTATTCTTGCCTGCACATCCTCGTAATGTGACTAGACTCTAATACTGATGACTTCTCAGTTTTAGTATTTTAACAATAAAATCACTAAAAACTCGGGATTTTCATTTTTATCTGCTTCATCAGACTTACAAACAAGAACAACTCATGTGGCCATGGGTCAAGGGGATATTTTATTCTACAGACTGAAAATACAACTGTTCATTTCAACAGAAAATACATATGGATCAATAATCTGTTAGTAATGAAAATCCTAAAAATTACTATTGAAAAATTTCAAATTCAAAGAATGGCAAGTCTCATTTACACGTTTTGCAGGGTAATTGTTAATAAATTCCATACCAAGTCCTCTATCATCCATGGCTGGGTTATTCAACCATCTTTGAGCTTGGTCCACCTTGCCCTCAACTGTGGGGGCGGGTTTCCTAATGCCACTCCTCTCTGTGTTCATTATTCCCGCCCCTGTCAGGTTCTGTAACTCCTTCAACTGCTGCTGCATTTCTCTGGCTAATGACATTGCTTGTGGACTATTGCCCTAGAAATTAAAGATAGAATGAAATAAACCATTCTCATTTTGGCCAAAAATATCACCATTTATTATTACATAAGTCACAAATTTGACTAAATTTTTATCGCATAGTTTTTATGTATGTTGGCCAATTATTTTTCACTCCTTTTAGATAATGTTGCATGAACATTTTTGTTCAAATCATTTTCACATAAATTTGGATGAAAGAAGAACCCCACATTTACACTTAATTTACACTGCCTGTAAAGGAAGGACCAAAACCCACCAGTTAACCAATTTGTTAATACACAAAAAGCTACCAACATTTCTATAGTCAATAGCAACTTAAAGCATAAGTAAAATATCTAAATTTTCTAAAATTCACTATCATTCATCCATCTTTGAAGATACTTTGATTGATTTTAAGCAAAACTCTAAATTGGCTAACTTAATGGACAAATTGTGCATTCATGTAATGGGCAAGTGAGAGTCAACATGTGCTACTTTGCTGTTGATCTTTTTACTATGTTAACCTTTATTTTCCATGAGAAAAGAGAAGATTTTATAGCCACATAATTCTTGTCTCACGATCAAACATGAGAATTCCTTCCTGATTTCTTCCTTTATATTCTGTCTCTTATCTATTTAACCACTGCAACATGATTGGTAAATTCAATTAGCTTATCTAATGGCTATCAAGAGGCTATTTTTACTTCAGTGAACAATTCAACAATCAAATTGCTTTTATTGCAAATCTAGACAATGCTACACAAAATGCTTGATGCTTTCCTAACATTGATATTTTACAATCAAATTCAAAAGCTTTAAAGGAGAGTTATTGACACAAAGGAACTAAAAATATTTTTTCAAGGTTTATGTAACATTTAATGTAGGTTTGGACCAATAACTTCTGTATAGAATTTCAGATTATTTGCTCACTCTGTTTTTCAAGAATAACCATTTTGAATATGCAAAATGACTCAAAAATGAAGTACTTCATTTAAATGCTTTAACTCAAATCAGACTAAGAAATGCTAAAACAGGTGGTTTGCGACTCAATTCCATTTTTTAAAATTGTTTTAAAATTTTCCCAATTTTAATACCCTGTTGATTACAAACCCAAAATAGAGAAATTTACAAAATTTTTACCACAATTTTTGGGTCCAGATTTTCTTTCAAATTTAAAAAGAGAATGTATCTGTACCTAACATATTTATTACCTTTCCTTGCTGTCTAAGTTCATTTAAAGCTTGGCTCATAGATTCCAGATTGCTGACAGATTTTAAAATTCTATCTCTATCTTCAGGGTTGGTACAACAGTCGGCTATTCGTTTTGCATCCTCCAGGATTTGACGTAATGATTTGTCACCTACATATAATATAAAGCAATATTTTCATAGTTGTTAGGTTCAGAACAGGCAGAATATCATCTTAAAAGAGATATATCCAAATTTTTATTATATTCCCAAGTTATAAACTGATTGAAATTTAAAATTTAAAAGAATTAAAAAAGAAACAGAAATGTAGATATCACCTTATGTATCTGTTATGATAAATAATGTGTCATTTCAAAAGTAGGAAGAATATTCTTAAATTTTATCATTTGATATAAAGAATAAACATAAATAAAATCATTTATGACTAAAACCATCATGACTTATATCATATCTAAACATAAACACAGTTGTTTATTATGTCTGCATATGAGAAATATTTTTTCTGGGTAATTACCAGGAATAATTAAACACAGACCATGTTCTCAAACAAAGTTAGGGATAAATAAATAACATTCTGACAAAAGGACAACTGATCACATACCTAAACAGAGTTAGGGAGTATTCATTTATTGTCGGATACAGAGTTAGGGAATATTTCTTATACTACATTAAGAACACTGGCACTAAAATAATTATTTCCAACTTGGTCACAAGTATATCATGTTAACTTATAAAGTGGATTCAGTGGGAAATTTGGAACACATAATAAAACACTGACAGGGACACACATGTATGGTGCACACACACACAAAAATGGGGATTTTTGTAAAGACAAACCTGATAACACTTGATTTGCTATGACAGTACCTAAATAATGTAACTATACTTATTACACTAAGTTGTAACATGTTTACAGTACACTTAACCACTACAACATAAGCTATGAAAATTCAAAGATTGTAGGTAACCATTTTAAATGTCAATTTACAACCATGCTGGTAAAAACCATCAAGTATATTATGTTGAACAGTAAAATTAAACACTAAATACATAAAATTTGAAGTGTTAAAAATAAAAGCACAACGTTTACAGTATATACATAAATTAACACCCATGCTGGTGAGTAACAACCCTACCATACTCAAGCTTCAATTGTGAATCTATAGTGCAAAATTTTAACAGCCCAAAACAGTGCTATTAATCTATATTTCTTTATGTAAAGATATACATTTGTACTTGTATATAATATATATCATGCTACAATGTGAATATATAAAACAATGGTAATAAAACTATTTTCCTTACCTGAGCTACCAACGAGAGCTGAAGGATCAGCCAACCAATCATGGGCAAGCTTCATTTTTTGTTCTATGGCACTCTGTAAAAAATGTAAATCATGTCTTTAATAAAAACAATGTTATATATTGACTTTAGTTTATACAAATTTATTTTGGTTTGATTGTGTTGGAAGGTATAAGTTTATCGAAACACTCTCGAATCCGTACCTGGAGCCAGCCAGTACTAAGCAATGAATGTAAAGTTTCTTGCTCAAGGAAACAACGGCTTGCCACTGACAGGGTTTGGACCCACGCGGTAAGCAATTCTAGTCTGACACGTTAACACACTCGGCCACGCAGCCATACTTACTTTACACTTGGTAAACAAACAGTCTGTCAGGTAACAATTTCCAGCTATATCAATCACCTAGGGGAGGCACTAAAACCAAAAATATCCCAATCTTTGTTAAGTAGTAGTGGAACAAGCAATTCTATAATTGTTTGGTTTTATGGCACACCCATGTTTGGTTTTATGGCACACCCATGTTTGGTTTTATGGCACACCAAAACAATTTAGGGCATCAGCTTTATGTAATTTTAAACTGCTAACATTAATATTATTTGTGTCCCTCATTTTTTTTTTTAAATATCCCCAAAATTTTCATTCTGTGGGCCCCTGTGTCTACCAAATGTCTTGTTCTAGAAGCAACAATGGTGTTTTAATTTAATTCAGCTAATTAAGATTTAAGGTATAAAATAATAACATTAAATGACTGTGTCATGCCAAGACATGGCTGTAGAGTGTCACACATATTCAAATAGGATTTAACTCAGAACAGTGTTGGAACTGTACCTCCAGACAAGACACTTACAGAAATAATGATCACAAAATGGAAAATTTTTGCTTTTTTCACTAATTCTTACATTCTTCATTCACAATTGTATATAAATTGGTGTGAAGAGATGCATTAGACTTCTTATAGTGCAAAATGAGAGAGAAAAGGTGAGACTTCAGAATTTTAATCATTCCGATTTATACCAGAATACTCTATCAAGTGTAGTGCTCCAATACATTTTTTAGTTACTCATTGATTTAATGGTTACTCATTAATATAATGGCTACCTGTGCTTTCTTCATGACGGCGAGATCATCAGCATCCCACTCCTCTTCATCATAAGTTGTCAGCTGTAGCACACGAATAATCTCGTGGATCTCGTCCGACATCTTACGTACCACGTAATCACGATTTGTCTGTGAATCTGGGATTCCCTGATCTGTTTCAAAACAAAATAATGGTTTATAAATATTAGGACTTATTATGTGTTTATATGGCAAGAAAAAAACTGTTTTTCATCAAGAAATCATTGATAAAAAAATATCTTACATGTAATTTCCAAGAAACTAACAAGGGGAGACTTTGCAAGGGCAGACCATTCAAAGCAAAAAAATCATTGGAGAGAAAACCGAACAAGCAAATTTCAGAAGTAAATTCAAGACCAAGTTTTAAGACACAAATATCAGGGGAGTAAACTCAGATTATTCAAATACATGAAGGAAGATAATTAAAACCAGACAAATTTAAGGGTAAGAATTCAGGATAAACAAATCAGGGAAAACAATCCTGGACAAATCAATGAAGACAATTCAGAGGAGGAAATGTAAGGAAGAACACAGATACCCCCCATATTCCACTATTTTGCCAGTAAACATATGGACAGTGTGATGGAAAGGAAAGGGCAAATCTATATGCCTCTCCTCTCACTAAGCAGGTGAGAGGACATAGAAATGGAAGTACAAGAATTTTTAAAGTCTGAATGAAGCTTACTTGTTTGTTTAGCAGTGATGAAGATTTTAATTCCTGATATAAGAACTGGTGTGAGATTTTTCACTTGTTCGAGAGAGCGTATCAACATCTCACGATGAACCTGATGAGTCAATTCTTTTTCACGTGCATCAACTTCCTTCGTCATTCTTGTCAAGACTGGGCTGAGATTCTGAAATTAATGTATACATCTGAACATGCTTCTTCGATAAATGACCATTAAGCAAAATTGTTTCGCATTTAACAAAATTTTTTTCTTATGATAGACATCTCACATGTTCGTAATCCATTATTACCACAATAGAAACACATTTGCCCTTTCTACAGAAAAAAAATTATTTTAGAGGCATAACTGCCTTTAAACTAAATGATACTAATATCAAAATAGAAAAATTTTAGCAGCCAATGATATACAATGTGGCAAAAATTAGGGCAGAATAGATTGACTCCTCTCTCTTATAGTGGCATAGTCAAGTCAGTATCACAATTAACTTTAAAATAATTAAATTACCTTCACATAAGTTACTAGATCTTCCATTCTGTCGACAACTTCAGTGATGGCCAAATATTCAAGTACATTTTTACAAACCCGTATAATCTTGCGAACCTCTGATTCATCAAAGGCCAACAATAATGCTGAGGTACCTTGTAAAATTCCTGTAACAGAATTACAATAAATAACACATAGTTAACATAAATAAAAGCCCTTAAATCTCAAAGGACCAAAGATATGTCATCTTTCAACAAGCCTCGCAAATTCAGATTGCAGCTTCCGAAATCAAAATTTAAATACAGTCGATAAATAATGTTTTCACTATTAACATCACAAAATGTTCTTATCAGCATGTGCTTGTCCTACTACATACATGAAATTGCAAAATCAATGCAAGCAAAAGCTATGATTTTTCTGTTTAATTTTTTCAAACAAATCCCATTTAGTTTACTTGGTTTTACATATCTTTTGATATTATATGTAATCACATAGGAGAGACTATAGTTTTCAACAATAACAAGTACTTGGTAACTTTGATTAAATCAGTTTAAAACTTTTTCAAAACTGGAAGTACAAACCTCTTGATCCCTCAATAAGCTTCTTTCGGGCTGGAGCAGAATATGGATCTGATCTGAGCATCTCAGATGCTTGCAGAAGCAAAATGGAGGATTCCTCTACTCTACGTAGAGCGGGTGGCATGTCTTGTTTCAAAATTTGATCATCACTGCTGTTGATTGTGTCATATCCAACCTACAATATTGACATGTTAAGGTAAAAAGAGTTTTTTTTTACTGGATAGTAAGTCACATTAACAATGTAAAGATTATACCAGAACTCTCCTGTTATACAGGTGACCTCAGGACCTCAGGGGCTGGTAAAGAAGACATCAGGTGTCCCTAAAGAGACCTCAGGTGCCCCTAAAGAAGACCTCAGGTGCCCCTAAAGAAGACATTAGGTGCCCCTAAAGAAGACATTAGGTGCCCCTAAAGCAGACCTTAGGTGCCCCTAAAGAAGACCTCAGGTGCCCATAAAGAAGATATCAAGTGCCCCTAAAGAAGACCTCAGGTGCCCCTAAAGAAGACAACAGGTGCCCCTAAAGAAGATTTCCGGTGCCCTGAAAGAAGACCTCAGGTGCCACTAAAGAAGACCTCAGGGGCCCCTAAATGCATGATTCCAGGCACAATTGGGATTTTTTCTTCTATAATCTAGCTGTGTTGCTTCCTCAAAGTACCCTATGGGATTTAATCTTACAGTAGTGAGGGGAAATTAATTTCAAAACAGATACTTTAACCATTCAGCCACTGACAGATACAGATGGCCTTTCAGACACAATTAAAAGCCAAAATACCAAGTGTGATAGAGATAGAGCAGATCTTAATGTTGACAAAAAAGAATATTATGTACAAAACCTAGCTGTCTGTGAAACAGGCTTTACATGTATCTCATGAAAAACATACATTATAAAGTAAAACTTTCTACAAGGTTGGCTGAAAGTCAACAAAACAGACAAATACCAGGAAGAACACATTGAAAACATCTTGAGAACACTCAGGGGAATAAATACCAGCATCAATTATATAATTACCTTTATATAACATGGGTATAAACTACAATATAAACATAGTAGCTAATCAATGAATTGAAATGTATATATATAAAATTATATTATCAAACATCCATTATTTTCTTTACCTTTGAGCATAACCTGTAGCATTCTCGCACAAATTTATAACTGATGCTTGTAATTGAAAACAGCATTGAATAATTATCATAAATCCCAAATTTTAAAAACTCTGCCTTCACAAAGACTTTGGAAACTTTCATTACAATATGATATTAAATTCTACCTTACTATTGTTTGCATTTAGTGATATTAAACTCTCATTATAAGATTTTGAGATTTTTTTTGGAGTACCCAAATTCAATTAAACTGTTTGGGAGTTTTTCACATATCAACACTTGTACAACTAAATAATATTGATGTACACTGTACTGTAATGTTGTATTATAAATATGATACAATGGACAGAGAACTGCTCTTTATTTTACAGCGGTCAATTAGGTAACAGACCTTTAACCTTCCAGGGCTTGTTATTATTAATATAATATAAACTGTTGTCAATCTCAACAAAGATTATTTCACTACATTTACAGTATATCTATCTAATAAATAGCTGTAATTGTTTACTTATATTTATAATACCAGTAAATTTGAGGAAACAACAAATTTATCTGTTATTACTGGCACATTGACCATATGGTCAAAAGCCTCCAATGAAATCATTGGTTGATCAACAGCAAACTGACCACTGACTGCACTAACATAATAAACAAAACTAAAATATCAGCAAGACATTTAAAGGCAGACAATTAAACATGATTTCATATTTGATATGAATATGTATATCATTGATTTTCATTTTTATTGGCAAATAACGGTCTTGGATAAAATACAAGCACATGTTAATCATCCAAGTCTAGGATAATTTAGTAAAGAAACTGTGCTGAATATGAGTAAGACAAGAGTCCTGCAATACATTTTGTATTCAAACAGATCTGACATTAAAATAAGGACCTTCATACACCTGTATTGTTCTTTTTTTTTTTTTTTTTTTGGACAAAACTAGAAACATGTCTTTTTTTTACTATTTTCACATGTCATAGACACATTCTTACCTTGACAAGATTATCGACAGCCAGTTTGACCACCTGTATTGGCCTAGCCAGGTCTGGCATGGCATTTCCATCTTCTGCTTCTTCATGGAGAATCACAAGTTTGGATACCTGCAAGGCAGAATTTTATATGTCAAGTAAAGTATATATTATGTAAGGGCTAACCTTCCAAAGTTACATCAATCTGGCATTCTATACATGTAGCTGATTTGTAAATTAGAAAAAAATGTCACACCTGCACTAAAAGAAATTGTTCTGTGTAAACTTACATATCAGAAACCCACAAAATTACTAGAACTGATGGAACTAAAGACATGAGAAACCTCTTAGCAAATACAGATCATTACTTCATACAAACACTCATTGCATATTATAATGATTATTGTCATGTAAGATCTGCTTACTTTGCGTTTTGATAATGTATTATATAATCATCATTTTGTTGACGAGGAGTATGCTCAAGTCCAATAAAAGAAATAAATATTCTGTCCTTTTACTGAACATTTCATTCAAATTTCAAACAATTACATAATTACAGATGGGAAAAAACAACATTCTTCCAGCCTAAATATCTCACAGGAATGAGAACAGAAATATGAAGCATCTTATCTGTATCTTAAAGAGCCTGCAATAAAAATGCAAGCAATTCCAGCTAGCTCAGAATTAACAGAACTTTTATTTACACACCATGCCAGATTTCAATTAACAATCTGGGGGGGGGGGGGAATAATAACACTATCTGAAGTAGACCTGTACAGTAGATTTTAATCAATGTTTTCTATTAAGCTTATTGTCTTTGGCTGCAGACAGATGCACATATCAAAGGTTACAATCATAACTGCAATACTGTAGTAACTAAATAAATATACAGAACATGTTATTACTATGTTGCGAGGAACAATTACTATGTTGCTGAGGAACAATCAAATTATAGACAGTTATACTGAGCATTTATGTTATACACAAGACCTTACAACAAACACACAGGAGGTCAATGTTTGCTTAAGGTGTGTGTCAGAATCCCTTCCAAGCTACAGCAGTAAGTATTTTTGCAGATGTTACAAATTTGCACTATCAGAAAAGAAAGAGATCTTATCTATTCAAATACAAAATGTAAATAACAAGTATACAAGATAGATTCAGCCTATCCAAGAAAACTGTCTGAAATTAAGTCCATGATCATCTCAGTAACCTGAGTCTAAAATTAAGTTTATTAAGTCTGTTCCAGTCTGAAATTTTAAGTCTATCTAATAAGCAGTCTACAATTAAAGAAAATTCCAGATATTATTCTAGTCTACATTATGTAATATTTCGCAGTTTGAACATACATTTTTCTACAAGATACTCTTTTTACATAGATATTTTTTATTTTGAACACACATATTCTTCAAGTTACATTTTTTACTGTCTGCAATGATTTTCCAAAAGTGCCAGGAAATAGCAGTAAATATTTACAATTCCAATGTACATTAATCAAACAACCATACTAAAATATATCCCAAGTGATTTGTAGACGATTTCACATGTCTGCTTGTGTTAAATGTTATAACTATCTCTATATTTTGTGTATAATGATTTCTAATTTTGAAGAATTTTCATGAGAAACTGCTTGTTCTATAATCAAATTTGACAATAGCCAATCAGTAGAGAAATCAAATTTAAGAGAAACAAGATATTCATTGGACATCAAGTGGTCTCAAGATTTTATAAAGATTTTTTTTGTGCTGTGATATGGTTGTAGAGGATTCCAAAGTAACCAATCCACCATCTAAAAGTAGTCTGCTTCACCATTTGGTACCATTACTTCAGACAGACTGACAGTGCTACAGCAAGAGGGATGGAAAATGGGACCATAAAGCTCTAAGACTGGACTTAGCTCATTAACAAATCCATGCAATTTGAGTTGGCAATTTACACATTTTTACTGTTTTGGTTATATATTTTGCATTTTCATGTTTTATTATTTTGTACACTGAACCAGTGAATGTCTGAATTTATAATTTTAAAAGCAAGCATTCGAATACCTAGTTTTCAAGAGTACCTTTCACATTCATGTTAAGAAGTAACCCTGCTGGAACTGAAAGTGATTAGCATTTGTCATCAGTATAAAACCAAGCTAACCTGTATGTCCACACAGTATGATAAGGGTCTAATAGTTGTTACCTGAGCAAATTTAAACTTTCAGGACAGATCTAAAAAGGAAGCTGACATGTCCATTTAAGAAATTTAGAATTATATTAGACAAACCCATTCGCTTTTATGTGCTTGCAGTCTGAAAGAGTCTATAAAGTTGTTTTTTTTATATCATGATTGCAAAATGTATTTATTAATGGCTGTCCAAAAGATACCATATCAAATTTAATCATTTTACAAACGTAAAAAAGGTGTAGAAAGTCAATGACATTCAAACATTGAAATTTTCTTTGTTTCATTATTTCTTTGTTTTTTCTTCTTCTCTTTTTCCAAGCACACATGACAATGTACCTGTACTTATTAGCATCATGCCAACAAATTGCCTGCAACAGGTGCATTCTGACTTTTAATAGTTTGACAGTGTGCCAAAAATTCCTATTAATTAATTAAGCAAGAACTTCTATCACCCTTTATAAAACATAAAAAAATCTTGCCTCTGCTAGAAAACACACAAATACTATGGTAACTGAAGAAGAATAACAAAGATAAGAATTGGAGCACACCTAAGCAAACATCATGTAACATAACTCTTAAAGGTTTTACTTCTGTTTCTGATTTCATATTTACTTACTCACAAAATGTTATTCAACTTTACACAATAAATGGTACTTATGTTATATAAGAACTGACTTGTTTTGCCTCCCATTCTGTTAAGTTGCCAATTACTTTTATATTAGTGTTATTTTCCAGTTGCAACTTGTTGACAGCTAAAGTGCTGACACATCATATTAACAACTACAATGCATCAGTATTTTCTTATTTATATCACTCAAATCTTTAATTTATATTGTTATGGATGCTTAGAAAATTTAAGACAAGGGGGTTACTTAACAGTCAACAAAGAATTACTAGTAAGTAAAACAGGTAATTATTTTTTTCCTTGACAGAAGGAAGTAAAATCTGAAGCATGCTCAATAAAATGAAAATGAATATTACAATGCTAAAACAAGACATTTGATAATTGAAAGGAAACTATTTCATCATGATTTGCATCCTTTTTCTGTAAATCTTGTGAAATTATAACTAATCTTTCTAGTGTCTGAATGACATATCAAAATAGGGTAATTTAACTTTTAACATGCTGCATCTGAAAGTGAATAGCCTTTGCCAACAGTGTACTGGTAGGCTAACCTGCATATGGATGAAATTCTGACCAGGCTCTATACTGGTGGCTGACTTACTATATTCATCTTGATATCCCCAAAAATTGATAATGGAATGTTCCAACAATGGAAACTGGACAAGTTCATTTAAGAAAATCAGCAGGGTAATGGTTAAAAAGGTGGTTTTGACAGGCTAGTGGCATTTTAAAGTGCTATAGATACATCACTTTGTTGTTTTTACTCCATATTGCACTTTTACAATTATGAGCAAACTTGCTAAGATACATGTAGGAGTACATAATTGTAATACTAGAAGTTTGAATTAACTCTTTATTAGATCAATGATTAAGTGAACAGTCAAATATAAAACATAGATGGCTTATCAGCTGCTTTATTTGCATGAGACTTGATCCTGTAATAACTAACATCCCTTATCAGCATCTAGCATGGTCTGAGAATTAAAAGTAACAATCCCTGTGTAAATATATGTGGATGGATATGATAGGAACACAAGATAACTTCAAGGCAGATAATAATTATGAATGTATCTTCCAGTAAAAAGCATATATTCATCATTTGAAAAAAAAAATGTGTAAGTCTGGTTTGATTGCTGCAATAAATCATATACATGTATCTATATCATCTCAATACCTGAAGTGAAATAAAATTCAATGCTATTTTGTGCATTAGAAAATATTTTAGTCAAAGAATGCTGAGTTGACAAAAATTTACATTAAGCAGTTTATAATCATACTTTTTCACTTTCCTTGGAAATTTTCTCATATTGCTGAAGGAAAACAAAGGTCAAAAAGTTATTTGGGGGTTTCACTGGCCATGTATTTAACATGAAACTAACTCATTGAGTGGGATCACTATAGAATGATAGGCCTACATTACCAGAGTTCGGACCCAGGACAATCTTACTGCACAGTAACTAAAACTGTTGGTGCATGCATGTATAAGAAAACACTCTGTCACTATGACAAATTCCAAACACAAATCAGAGGTCAAGGTCATAAAGAACAAGTTATTCACATGAAGTGTTGAAAAGTACAAGTTATGATACTAATGAGCTGAAAGTTGGAAACAAACAATCTGAAAGTTTTGCAGGCAGGGAGAAATTAAGACAAAGAAAACAAAACAGAATATATCCTTGGCAGAAAGAGAGGAAGGAGAAAAAAAACAGGTGTTGTATAGTTCCAGCATATAATAGTCCAATATGTTCTCACAAAACGTCTGTGGTGATTATTTCTGACATGTTTTTATCACTTTGCTATGACATTTACAGGCAACTTGCTACTAGGCTGATTTGTATCTCAACAAACATGCCATGCCTACATCATCTCCAACCATCATGATATATATCATTTACAACTACCTGCTTTAATATATGAGAAAATATGTTTAAATAATTGATACAAAACACTTAATTTGATTAATGTATATATATTGATCAGGGGCAAAGAAAAATGTCCAATTGTGAATCAAGTACATTAAATATTATACACATAGTTTGAAGCTGTCTTAGATTTAAAGTACATTCCAGTTTGGAGTAAGTCATGTTAATGTTTAATATTATAAAATATCAAAATTATTTAACAACTAAAATACAAAATATCAAAAGCATTCATTAACAACAGAAAAATCGAGGCCTGGAGCTTTCCTGCCGTGTACTTATAAATTTTAGTTATTCATAGCTAAAGTTGAATAACCTTAAAATTTTAAACCTATACCAAAACAGTGTGATACATTATGGTACAAAAAAATTTGACTTTCTCTTTGTAAACATATGAATCAGAATTATTAAGTCTAATG